TTGGAACTGTCACGACACTCGTGATTACTGGCGGAAATAAAATCTACACAAAAAGTATATAATCCATGACTATCGTTTGCCGGGAGAATGATGAGCATGAAAAAATCTAAGATTCTGGCTGTTGCCCCTGGCTGTTATTATAGAGCAAGCTTGCGTGTTCACTAAACCGATTGCCAGTTTTATCCCAGAACCGTGGTGCTGCCCCAGTTGCACAACGATCAGCCGAAAATCCTGATGAAATACTTTGAATATCGTGTAGGCACTAGAAAGGTAATCGGCTTTAACACTGCGCGACAACCGCGGCTAATGTGCATTCGTTATAAGAAATGATTGTACGCTTCTTCTGATAGACATGCAAAAAATACATTTCTTGTTATGATTTTTCACGGCGGAAAGGCAGATGCCATAATCAAGCCACGGCATTCTAAACTGATCTTCGAAACTACATCGGCGGAAAATGATACACTACAGAGTAAGCTTTCAAGTTACCAGACCGGAACCACTGATCCAGCAATTAGCGTTTTAGATGAATTTTGAATTATACCATAATTCTTTATTCAAAGAATGTGCTACAAAGGCGTGTTCACAGCGAGCTGATTAATCCAGCTGATGCTACCAGAGGAAGGAGTAATTAAAGGAAGGAAATTTTGTGTTCAAATAGATGAAGAAATAATTAAAGGAAGGAATGTTTTTTGGTCAAAAAGAGGAAGAAGATTTCGATAGAAGTAGTCAAAAAAAGGAGAAAATTTTCGTGGTCCAAAAAGGAGACTGTGATGGTCGAAACAAGGGAAACAATTTTTCGGTAATGCGTTTGGAGAAATTTTAAAATTTTTAGGGAATCATACTTGGTGGTCTGTACTTTAAAAAAGTAAGTACTGACCGTGAGTAGTGCTGAAAAAGCGTTGCAGCTACACATACTCGTATACCGTAATTATCGAATTTGCCGCACTGGGCGGCAAATAGTTCGAACACCATGGAGCAGGTGCGCTTATTTCGGGGAGGTGCGCTTATTTCGGGGGGTGCCTTTATTTTTCAAACAATAAATTTTTGAAGGTGCGCTTATTTTGCAAACAATAAATTTCGGAAGAGCCCATTATTTTTCGAAACAACAGCGCATCCTGCTCTACTGAAAATAAGCGCCGCATTTACCGAGTACATGGCTAGCTAGCAATATGTGTTTGATACCTATACTTCTACAGTAGTAACTGACTCATTTTTGTTGCTCCATCATTGATTGTACTCAAAGATATCGTCAGGTTATGTTAAAGTTTCGATCACAACTCAGCTATATATGATTAAGTAAATACGTTTTATAACACAAAATACAGTGTAATTATCGGTTTATTGGACTTAACATCTAATTACCGCACCCGGTGCGGTAATTTCGGGGGGGTGGGGTTATTTTTCGAACATGAATGCGGCGGTGAGCTTATTACGGGGGGTGCGCTTATTGCGGGGGGGGGTGCCACAAATTCGATAATTACGGTAATCGCATTTTCGAGAAGACGAGAAGACGTGCGCTTGTGAAGTATGTATCAACATCGGTATGAAATAACAGGTAACGAATATTGTTATTATCAACGTAAATACATACAATAATTCAATGCTACCATCTAATTCGTTTTGATGTGCCTGAATCGTTTGGTCAAAGAATAACAGTCATAATGGTTAGATGCTGGAGGATTCCTCCCGTTAGTTACGTTGTTAATGAGCTGCGCGCTGTCGTGGCCCTTAGATCAAAGCGGCCGCCGCCGCGCTTGCGCGTGCTGTTTGCGCCCGGCACTGCTCCTGTGCCCGCATTTGGTTTTTGCGTTTCCGTTCGACATGCAGTGTCTTTGCATTTCTGTATCGTGTGCGCGCGAGTGACTTTGTTCTTTTAAGAAGAAGTTTTGGAGTGAAGTTCAGAAGTTATCTGATTTTGAGAAAGAGAAAACTTTTACCCGGTTCTTCCGATAACCGAATACTACAGCTTGAAGATGCCACCGAAACGTTCAGGACGCGGCAGACCGGCGGGACGCGGGAGACCGACAGGGGCCTCTGCGAGTCGCGGCCGTAAACGAATAGCCAGCGCATCCTCTCCCGCACAAAACCGGCTCCGTTCACAAGTGACAGTACCGCCGTCAACGACATTTCCATCTAGCACGAACGACCTTCTGAAAAACATCAGCGATCAAGTTCAGGCGCTTAATGAAAGAATTACATCCGTGGAAAAGAATGCGAAGCATGGACCTCTTACCGTGAACGCTGGTCCCAGCCGAACACTGTCTCCCTCATCGAATCGCGTTGTTGCAGGTAACAGTAAGCAGCCAATTACTGAAATCACTATTGAACAGACACCTGAACCCAAAAACATCTACGAACGACTTGGCCCGTCTGTGTATCGAGACCTGCGAGCAGTGAACCCCAACCTGCGCGATGCCTTGCTTGATCACTCGCAATTTGTGGACTTTGCGGATTTGCTGCCACAAAATAGAGTGCCTTCCAAGCGGCCGCAGGCGGGCACTAAGATGACACACGACCCCACCACCGGCGAAGCTATATTCCTTCCGTCTACAAAGAAGGAGCAAATTACCGATTATTTTAAATGGTCTCGAGCATTCTCAGTATTCGTTGAATACCGGACGTTTCATCACCCGGACTTTATAATCCCGCTGATGAAATACCAAGACCTCATCGGGCTTCTGTCAGATCCTGACCGGGGCTATAAGTTCGAGCATGTCATGGAGTATGACATGCAATTCCGAAACTACGCTGCCAATAACCCACTTGACTTTGAAATTTGGACGCGACGTCATGAGGAGTCTTTTCAGGAGCGCATAGCTAATCCCAAGACTCTCACTGCACGAACAGCCAGCACTAGCGGCTTGTCGAACCCACGACATAGCACGCTGCAGCGCGGACGCTGCAAGGAGGTGGGTCACGTCGCACGGGACTGTAAGCAGCCCTTTCGCGGGCGCCCGGCTGCGGAGGGCGAAATCTGCAACAATTTCAACAAAGGAAATTGCACAACACCATGCCGCCGAGGACGCCTGCACGAGTGCAGCGAATGTAATTCCGAAGATCACGCCGAATACAATTGCCCCCGTCGGTATGACAAGCGAGCCGAACGCCGTTAGGAGCCGTACGCCACTTAAACCGGCTGCCTTTAAAAAACTCCTGACAGCACATCCCGACCGAACTTTTGTCGAAGATTTGATTCACATGATCACTGACGGAGCGGATATCGGATACCGCGGCCCAGAATTATCCCGCTATACAAAAAATTCCCGCACTGCAGATGAGAATCCTGAAGCGATTTCGTCATCCATCGAAAAGAGCGTTCAATGTGGCCACGCACTCGGCCCGTTTAACCGACCGCCTCTACCAAATTTCGTTTGCAACGCTCTCGGTGTTAGGCCAAAGTCGAGCGGTGGATTTCGCACAATCATGGACCTTTCCCAACCGACTGGAACATCAGTCAACGACTTCATCGCGAAGGACGAACCACCCTTAAAGTTTTGTTCCGTGGACGATGCCACTAAGCTGATCGCTGCATATGGCAAGGGCGCAGTGATGGCGAAGCTAGACATTGCCAATGCGTTCCGCTTGATTCCAGTACGATGCTCCCAGTGGAACCTTCTTGGCTACAAGTTCAAAGGTAAATATTACCACGACGTGGTTTTACCTTTTGGCTGTCGCTCCGCACCGCGCTTGTTTTGTATGTGCTCTGATGCCATACACTGGATATTTTGCAACATTTCCGGTCACGTCGCTATTTTACACTACATCGATGATTACCTAATCATCGCGCCGGTTGGTGGTAGATGCGCTGAATTGGTCAGTTTGTTCATGAAACTGTGCGAAGAATTGGGTGTACCGCTCGCAGCAAACAAGCTAGAGGGCCCATGTACGCGCATAGTCTTTCTGGGAATAACTATCGATTCCGTAGCGCAGACTTTGTCTTTACCAGAAGGAAAGCTCAACAGTCTAACTGAGCTGCTTCGGTCCTGGTCGAAGAAAACGTCATGTTCACTGGTAGAACTGCAGAGTCTTGTCGGCTCGCTGCAGTTTGCAACCAAATGTGTGCCCGCTGGTCGACTTTACTTAAGGCGTCTCATTCACAAAATGTCCGGCCTGACCACTCACAGACCCCGGTTTGTCACATCAATTCAACTAGACGCCGATTTTCAGTTGGACATCGCTTGGTGGCTTAAGTTCCTGCCTGCTTGGAACGGTTTAGCTACTATTCTGGAGCCAGAATGGAGCAGGCCAGACACGTTGCACCTCTCCACTGACGCCTCGGGCCGCCTTGGAGTGGGCGGTTATTACAGCGGCCGCTGGTTTGCGTCTCCATGGCCACAATGGATTAAGGATATCAAGCCGTGCATCGAGTATCTGGAGATGTTAGGCGTCTTGTTCGCATTAATGCTGTGGCAGCAATTGTTTCGGAACAAGAAAGTTATGTTCCACTGTGACAACCTGGGAGTCTGTGAGGCTTGGGATAAGTTAGGCTCAACCAATCGAGCTGTGCTTGACCTCATGCGCAGAATGACCATGATTGCAGCAGAAGGAAACTTTCACTTCACCATCAAACATATCAGTGGATGTGATAACGGCATAGCTGATGCAATCTCCCGCTTTCAGGTAGACCGGTTTCGCCGGCTAGCACCCGCAGCCAACCTCTACCCCGACAGTCTTCCCGACATATGGAGCGATTTACAGAGCAGCTACACGGGCTCGGCCAGCTGAATGATGTTGCATCCATGCTGCAGAAACACCACTTGGCGCAGACTACCAGAAATACATATGGTTCCGGATGGCACCAGTTTGCCACGTACTGCCGCGCGCACGGTGAGACCAGCCTGCCGGCATCAAAAGAAACCCTTCTCCGTTTTTTCGCGCATTTGCATTTGCGGAATGTTGCGCCATCAACCGCAAAGGTGTATTTAGCCGCTATCAGTAAGCTACATGTTGAACGCGGCTTAACTTCGTTCGCTGGCTCAGACGTCGTGATGCGTACAATGGACGGTTACCAGCGCTTATCTGGACAACAACGTGACCAACGCCTGCCTATTACCCTGCAGATTATGCGTTACCTGAAAGACGAGATATCGAAATCTAGCCTGTCTTCCTTCGATAAGAAAATGTACTGGGCAGCGTTCACCGTGGCTTTTACCGGACTCTTGAGGGTAAGCGAATACACCGCCGCTGCGCCCGGTCAGTTTGCAGCTAAGCAGACCCTCCTCTTGGAAGACGTTACACTCCACACAGATTCTGTCGTTCTGAATCTGAAGTCAACAAAGACGGATCAGTTCGGGTATGGTTATCGTCTGTCACTGCGCAAGACCGGGCGTTCCGTGTGTCCCGTGGAGTCCTTACGCGCGTACACAACGGTTAGGACAACCATGGCCAGCCAACGCGAACCGCTCTTCATTCAGTCTAGCGGTGCCTACCTTACCCGCTCTGCAGTCGATTTCACCTTGAAGAAACTTTTGCGTGCGCTTTCGGATCACCCGAAGTATAGTACGCACAGCTTCCGCATCGGCGGTACAACGACAGCCGCCTTGGCAGGATGTGAAGACAGCCAAATTCAACGCACCGGCCGATGGAAATCCGGATGTTTCGCGAAATATATCCGCGGCACTGTGCCTGTCGACGGTATCAATCCTTACCGATGATTTGTTTGGGGTTTTGTTTGGGGCCTTCGGTTGTGCAGGGCACTGGTCGCTCTCCTCTGCCGACCCCAGGTCGGCCGGCTTCTCGCTGACCCACGGTCACCGCACTCAGCCGATTGCCGAGAGTACCAGCTTCCCAGCAGCCGGGGTTCCAGTGCCCACAGTGGACTCCGGAAGCGGTAACATTAAGTTACAATTAACAAGTTAATTGTTGTTAATGTTAGCTGGAGGATATGCCTCCCGCTCTTTTTCTTTTCTCCCGCCTTAGCGCGTTACGTGAGCGTCGAGAGATGGCGCTGCGCGCTGTCGTGGCCCTTAGATCAAAGCGGCCGCCGGCGCGCTTGCGCGTGCTGTTTGCGCCCGGCACTGCTCCTGTGCCCGCATTTGGTTTTTGCGTTTCCGTTCGACATGCAGTGTCTTTGCATTTCTGTATCGTGTGCGCGCGAGTGACTTTGTTCTTTTACCACCCGCCACACCCTTCTGTTTCTTTTCTTTTATTTCGCATTCGCTCAATAAAGGGGCCTTCGGTTGTGCAGGGCACTGGTCGCTCTCCTCTGCCGACCCCCGGTCGGCCGGCTTCTCGCTGACCCACGGTCACCGCACTCAGCCGATTGCCGAGAGTACCAGCTTCCCAGCAGCCGGGGTTCCAGTGCCCACAGTGGACTCCGGAAGCGGTAACATTAATGATATCCTGCTCGATGCTACTATTCCCCATTTACAACGTAAATTACACAAAAGAGAAAACGTGTGCACCCTTTTGGCGGGAGCTATGACTTGATAGTCTCCGAGTCTGCGACTCTGCGTTCATGTTATGATACGTGACTTAGCTATGTAAACTTGCCGTGCCTTCTGAATACAAACTTACCATGCCTTTCTGAGTACTACACCTTTCTATTTTGCAATTTGCAATATATCAAGATAAAGATCTATATTACAACGGAAAACCCCGTACGATCTGGTCAGAACAAACCAAAAAATTAATCGAAAAACAGCTAACGCCATTCGATTCAGCATGTCTGGAAACCGTGTCACATGCATTTTGTTTTGACAATTATCCGCTCCGGCTCCCGTGCACAGACGCCGGTGCCGGTAGAGCTGAAAGCTCAAGGTGACCTTGAAAATAATTCAAAGTCCGGTTACATGAAGCAAATTTGAAGTGGTACCTTTTTAGATCAACAAATTAAAAAGATTGAAACTTCTACTCCTACAGCCAACTAGCAGTAACACAAACGATGCTGCTAGCGGATGGCTTCGTTTCTATAAGTAGCTAACAATTTAAAAGCGCTCAAAAACATGACTTGACAATGAGAACGCTCGTTAAAAGCCATTTGAAGGCAGCTTTAAAAGAAACTAACCATAGTAATCGTTCAAACGGCCTGACTTTCATTGCAGTCCGAGCAATACTAAGGACAGTAATCGAATAATCAGAATATACAATATACAGTCCTTAAATTATTCCGTATAACACGGAATAATAATACGGTATCTACATTTTAGATCTTTATTCCCACAAAAAATAAAAAGGGAATACACGAACCCAGCTTTTCCGTATATAATCTTCCATAATTCCATTCCATAATTTCCATAATATTAATCCGAAGGCCGATATTCCCAAACCGGCCAATCGGTCCTAGATTCACAGAGCCTGCTAGGTGAGCTAGTGACCGAAGTATCACTACTATCCAGAGCACATAGCCCGCTTGGTGAACGAGTGACCGAACTGCTACTACTGTCCAGAGCACAGCCCGCTAGGTGAACGAGTGACCGAACTATCGCTGCTGTCCAGAGCATGGTGCCCGCAAGGTGAGCAAGTGCCCGAATTCCATTACTGTCCCGCACCGAACTAATACCAGCATCTATTGCAGCATTCTTTAGGTTGAAATTAAGTGCCTGCTGCACTCAGAGTCGGGAGAGAAAAATCAACAAAAATCCCCTTCTGAATAAAAGTGAATGCATCTGGGTGCACAAAAGCCATAAATACAGTTTATGTCCTATCAGCGTTTTAGCGCTATTTTTGGAACATTTTTTCCCCGAAGGAATAAGCTGTTAACTAAATAACTGAATGAAATCCTTTGAATAAACCGTCCGTAGACTGGGGATCACAAGAAACGCGGTGGCGAAGCCGAGGCTGTTTCTTGTATTTTAATATCATAACAGCTAAATTATTGCAGACAAATGATAATTGCATTACCATTACTTCGATGTCAAACTTCCACAAAATTTTGGAGAACAAACTGGGGCTGTTTGTGCCCGTCCACAGTTGTGGTAAATGTATGAAACCGTTAATTTCGTGTTTTGTAGGCTAAAAGCGCCTTTCGGCATTTATAAAAATCAGAAGGGCACAATAGCTCAAGTAAAAATGAATTGATCATAACTATAAGTCTGTGTGAGTAATCAGGCTTTTCAACGATACCGTACCTTGTTGCTTGTTGATCAACGTTAGAAGCGTAAAGAGCAGAGCAAACCACTATACTTAAACCCTATGCTGATGAAAATTGACACACTAAAAATACAAACGTGCAAAAAAACCGTTCATGTACTTTCCAGAACCGGCGACTTTTAAAAACAAAATTTACAGTAGTAATTTCTGCAAAATGCAGTAAACCGGCACGCTGCCCAGTGTTCTTCGCTATCACATAAGAAGCTTTCCAAAAAACCTTGTGCGATTCGTGCTCGTGTGAACTTTTTTTAATTTTTTCACCGCACACAAAATTACTTTCCTTTTTCTGACCATTCAAATTTCCTTCCTTTCTACTATCAAAATTTCCTTTTAACCCCAAAATTTCTTTTCTTTAATTATTCCTTCCTCTTTTTGACAAAAAAATTCCTTCCTTTATTTATTCTTTTCACTTTTTGACCTTGGCCAATCAAGAGGGGAAATAACAGATGTTAAGGCGATGCTGCACTATTGTATGCAGTATGTACTATGTAATTGCCGCGCACGGCAGCATTCAGATGTTTCTGTAAATCGGCTGGACAACTGAACTTGCGCTACGCCATCAACGCCTCAGTGACGTAGGCAAAATTGCTGGAAAACACTGGGACCAGACAGAGTGACCGTAGACGACAAAAAAAGGGAAAGACCATTTTATGGATTTTTTCATAATCATTCAATTTGCGTCGGTCTAAATTGCTAAATATGCACCAGAACTGTGATGTGTATGAAAACTGAGATACCTGATGGAGCCGCACTGAGATCCGGTTTTCATTACGGACACAAAGAAACCGGCCTTCTGTTTCTACTTCGAAATCAGACCCAACAAAAATCCAAGAAAATATGTGGTGGGAAATCACACTGCACATATGCAGTGTAATTACAACGCAATAACGCATACGACCATTGCGCATGAATCATGATTACTGTACAGCAATTTCTGCACAAAGCAGCCTTAATATTTTTGGTTGGTGACTTAAAAATCTATTACCTATCAACGAAATATCAATGATATATATGTATATTATATACATAGACATGATTTCAGGGTTACCTTGAAAGAGCATTTAACACACTGCTGAAGCAATGAATATCTGTATTTAAATAGTCTAGCAGAAGAACATTTGTTGGACTAGCTACCAGATTTACTAGCAACAAAAACCAAAAAACTGCGAATGTATCTGTAGCTGTCCATTTCTGTATACAGTCCATTTCATCAATCATTTGTATCTGTATTACCGAAAAGATGAAATTTCGGAAACGTTTACATAATACATGGTGCTAAATTACTGTACCCGATAACAAACTGATGCATTTACATGCACGGAACTTTCGTTTTCGCTCGCTCTCGTACACTGTAAATTTTATAAACACAGAAAACCTGCAAAGGACATAAACTGGTAAATTCAAAGGTCATAAAACTGGTAAATTCAAAGTTTTCGCTCGCTCTCATAGATCATAAATTTTATAAACACAGAAAACCTGCAAAGGACATAAACCGTCAAAAAGTCGCAAAGTTAAAATGTCTCAATGCAAATTGTCCCAAACCAAAGTGTCTCAGCGTCAAAGGGTCCCGCGGCGAAATGTCTTCGCGGCGAAAAGACTTGCATCGAATTTAATTGCGGCGAAATGTCACACTCCCAAATGTCCGGGTGCGGATTTATGGTATTTTTCGGATGTTGTTGAATCAGTTTTAAAATTCGGTTCAAAGTTTTTAAAATTAGTTAAATACAGTAGCAGTGAATCGTGATGTCCGTTTTAGTTCTCCATAATTGTGTCAACAACCACATGTCGTGCATTAGTATCGTTTTAATGCCAATATTGGTGAACAAGATCTTTCAGCTGTAGAACAAACAATCCAGAAAAGGTTTTGGAGTGTTAAGTCAGCTTAGCAATACGTATGTTAATACCATTAGCACCAGTAAAAAGCCAGCAAAGGCCGCAGTAAAGAACAGTTTTTATACTGTACTCGTATAGTACTTTACATGTTTAATAGTACCAGTTATTACTGCATAAAACCTTGGACGAGGAACGGTATGATTAGATCCATTATTATTGGCCCCCAATGGTGCGACAGGTTAGGTTACAACACGTCGTGTTAACAGAAAACTCCGTGCCATTATGCGCATTTTCGTAGGTTAGCGGTTTAGAACAATCGACACTCAGCATCTCCCGATAATCTGGCGCAAACTCAGGAGGCACCGACGGCGATGCAAAGTCTCCTAACCGGAACACCTCTCCTTCCTCTCTTTTGCTGGCAGTAAGAAATGGTTTCTCCTTAAGGAAATTTCGAAACCAGGCATAAGAGCAGCTACAGTGCAGCTGGCGTATTCTCTCCTCCTTCTCCTCGTAGGATACGTGAAAACGTGCGTAGTGTTGCGGGTCGGTCTCGTTTACGCGTATAAAATCCAGCTCATCGAGAAGGCCGGTCTCCAGTGCCAAGACTTGCAGGTGTGGGATATCCGTGAAAGTATACGGTTCCATGTCACCGACGGCGGTTTTATAGAAATAAATCATACGAAGCTGTGGCATTCGCGAAAAATCCCGCTGGCGGATATTGACGAAGGCGCATTTGTTAATGTCGAAGCGGAGGATGTGCGGCAGGTTGCCCATTTCGTACACCATAGCCGTCACATTTGGATTATGATCACACGGAGCCTCGATGGTCAAGCCGACGATCTGCTGGCGAACTGGGTCCACAACGTCAAAGTGAACGTTGCTGCCCATATATTGCCCTGGCGAAAGTGAAACTACGACAGCGCGGGTGGGACTGATCATGCTAACGTTCCGGTGGATTTCTCTCAGGGTATCGCGGTCTTTCCAGTAGCATTTTCCTACATTGAGATAGGTTTTCTGATACATTTCGGGAGTGGACGTACACTCTTCAGCAGAGTCAACAATTAAGGGAGAACATTTGTCCCATATGGGTGTATTATGGGGACGAGGTCCCGTCATAGCCGCGTACTGCAAGCACTCTTCCAACGTGATGTTGTCGGCGCGGAAAGGGAAATCCACGGTCGAAAGCGAGCGATTTTGAACATCCAGTGGCCGCGGTGCAAAATGACAGTCAGTTTCCCATTCAACTTCCAAACCTGTGCGAAACACGTGCATCTTTTGTATTCCGATGTGCAATAGAAACGATTCTTTTACGTATGTGTCTTGGTAAAAATTAGTAAAAAAAACGATACTCCTTTTTTCCAGCACTGCTACACATGAAACATTACTTTATGCGTTTGCATACGTGCGTAAAGTTATAAGCCAAGCGAACCAGGGCAATTTTACCGAATACGTGGGCTATGTCTTTTGGTTTTCCAATTCCAAAATTATTTAACAAAAATACATGGGCGAAACTGAAAACGCACTGGCGTTTTTATATCAAGTTTTACAAACTATGAGTAACATTGTAAATGTACTCACTCGAAGAAAAGGCGAATGTGCCGGCAATTAACAAACCTAACCCGGCTAGCCGGATCCAAATTTTCATTTTGTATTATGCAGGTTGAAAGTCTAGTTTTGACCTATTAACTGTAATTAACAGCACGCAAACACCACTTTACAATTACACTATAGAACTATATGTCTGGCTTTATGTGTCACATAACCAATGTTTAACACTCGCATAATATAGAAATCTTCCGAATGAGAAAAAGTAGTTAACTTATGTAGTAGGCAGCGACTGCGTTCTAGCTATAGGGGATCACACAAGGTGGCCAGGCACGAGAGACCTTGAACTTGATTAAATCTTCCACTGGAAGTGTGCGTGATGGTGTCCGATTAATACAACCAAATTTAAGTGAGTACAACGGCAAGGTTGTGAACATTTTTGCTATTTTGATTGCAACGTTTAGGATGAAATGACTGTCACTGCCGGCTAAAGCTTACAATGTACAGTCGAACATAATAACATCAGGCTTTCATTAAAACTGTATAACAACGCGATTGCGCGTTTTCCGTTCCCGATTTCCGTTCCCGATTTTCCGTTCCCGTTCCCAACGATTGCGCGTTTTCCGTTCCCACTTCCCAACATTCGATGCACAAACGAATACCGTGATGGTGAATAGTGAATACTTCAAGTGCGAGCATTTCTAGAAGTCAATAAATTGGTGTGGGCGATATGGCGGGACACCTCCATTTATACCGTGACGTTTATTGCTTTCTGGCTACTGCAAACACGCAATTTTTCGTGCTGATTAACAATTCACGTAAATATGAAATTCCCTAGAATGCGAAATTATTATTACATGCCCATTGGCTCTACAAACGAGAGTACGGTAGATCTACAATAGATGTGGTCCACAGTCTTTGGTTCTAAGGTAGCCCAGCCGTCGAAAAATCAGCACCCGGACACCAGGCGCTTTTAACGTATTTTAATTGCAACAGAATTATCGTTGCTCATGTTGCCTCGCCCTTACGTCTGAAGGTCTGAGAATCCAGGTGATTGCTTCCGATAAAAAAGGAGAATGGTTTTTGTACAAAAGGATTAATGGCTGTCTCCAGAAATTATCTTTCCAAGACTTTTGTTGTGACAATAATTGGTCTCGGTGAAGGGGCTGGGTCGCGGGTGAAAAACTGCTCTAAACTGATATTGTTGTACAATATAACTTCGCTTAAAACAGCGATGGTACATTACTCCTGCACGCCGCGCGAGAACGCCAAATGTGTGCTCGGAATTTAAGTCCTTTGGGCAATTATGCCGAACATGGCCGGAAACGGCCCCAAGCTCAAAAACCAAACACGAAAAGAAACCCAAGAAGACCCGATACCGTGTACTGAGGACGACAGTTAACAGAATCAGCTGTGACGATGAGGAAGGGTCTTGATTTAAGGAAACAGTTACATGGGCGAGATAAGTGAGGTGCGGAATTCCACACATCTCTACTCATCCACAAATTAAGTGATTCACACAGAAATAGAAAATAAGTACGGCTTTGGGCGGAATTGATGCGGCAGGATACAAAGGATTCAAATAAACAAAAGAGTGCCTCGAAAAACTTAACATGTACGAAGTCGTCCATATCTGTAAAAACTCAGTTCCCCAGGTTAGAATTCAAGGTAGCCTCCGGTGGCATCGGTTCGTCTTTCGACCGAATCTTTGAAGCCAAGCGAACGCGAACGCAGCGGAACGGTATTGTAATTCAAATTTTGCAGGTAATTCACTGAGATGGTGTCGATCAGCGGGAAATGACTGACAATCTTCTGCACTTTCGCGTAGACCACTGCGCTATCGGCGATATTCAACCGCTTTTCAATGGCATAATACAATGCGTCCATGTACAGCGCGTGAGTATGTCCCATCAGCGTCTTGTTCGAGGCTTTTGTGTTTTCTGCAAAATATTTGCGGTTGTCATTGGCTCATGAAAGAAACAATAATATTTATGCCCCAGAAAGCCCGCCAGATACAAGAGGAGTTGGTGTTCACCCACAATTATCCACTGTTTGCAAACTGAATTGTCTCATGGAATTTCTACCAGCGCATGCATCCGAACTGGCCACTGTCAATACAGGTAATTAATTTTCATATCAAGCATCAAGATTAAAAGGCGCATTCAGGAATTTGGTTGCAGCAGGCAACTTTCATCCGTTTTACTGTTTATACCGATTCTATGCAGCGAGCATTGCTTGGCATAACTCACGTAGTTCATAGTAAGTTGTACAACAACCGCCACCACCGTTTCTGTGTGTATACCTGGATAAAAAATAGCCGCGGCTAACAGCAGGTAAAGCTCCACCAACGTCAGGTCACTGCTGTTAATTGACGCAAAACGAGAACCAACAAACCGCAGGTAATCCCCATCGACCTCCAGCAATGATTCTACGACGTATTTGGACAAATGCAGCCCGGATGCACCAGCAGGAATCAGAATGTAGTATTCTCCTTTGTGGAAGTAATTAGCATAGTGTATCTGCAAAACGCATTCCAGTTAAACTAGGAAATCGAAAAGTGGCAAAACCGATGAAAAGCCGACCAAATAGCTGATGAGATGCTTTTCCGTTAACAACGTCCGTTGGTCGTCGAAGGAAAGATCGTGAAAACCGGCGAGCAGTGAGGCAAAGGTAGCCAAACGTTCAGCTGTCCTTTTGGTAAAGGCTGAGAGCAGCTTGATCCAATGCGACGGTGTGGCCTGGGGCTCATGCTGAAAAATACAGCACTGGCAGCAAAATCAAATGCAACTGTCGGTCAGCAAATAGCGAAGCAGCGAAATGGAGGACAGACAACTGACGTGCTACCAAAAATGTAAAATAATCCTGTTGATGGGGTTATGGTTGTTTTTTTTCTTCATTACTTTGCCTTTGAATCGTACTGCTGTAAACTTATTCTTTTAAGTGCGAGCTTTAAGTAATCGAACAACAGAAAAGAAAACGTGCTCTTATATGCGTAAAACGACATCGGGTAGGCCTAAGCGGGTAACTAACCGGCACGAGACCGTCCCGGAGGGCCGCAATCATAAGGGTGGAAAAGGCAACAATCTCATCGCCGTAAGCAGTTTCGTATGCCTCCGTTACACCAACGATCACCTTCTCTAGCGCACTGTTCCGCGCTGTAACAGTCTCCCAGTATTTGTCGATGGTGGACGGACAGTGCAGGGAATGGACGAAATGGCTCGGCAGCGTCGACTGGAGAATGTCCCTGGAATCTCGACGAACACCAGAAGAATCTAGGACAACCTTCGGAGTCAGGCAAACGATAGTAGAAAATCGGCAAAGTGCTCAAAGAGAGGCAACATGCTGCAAAGTCTAATAAACGGACGTAGTCATATAATCTGTAGTCATATAACCTGTAGTCATATATCTGTAGTCATATATCTGTCACATAGTCATATAATCTGTAGTCATATATCTGTAGTCATATAAAAGAAAGCAGTAGGCGCACTGCCGCCGGCTGATTACATTGCACGTGCTGATCGTTTTAGCAGAGACAGATCCCATACCTACCACATTCCTGCACGTGTCGCATTTATTGATCGACGGCGACCGCGCGTTTACACGTTCTACGAGTATCTGGTTTTCACAAACCGGAAAAGCGCACGAGCTGGCCCGAGCGAGACCGCAGACTGGAACTGAATCGTCCTGTCCGAAAAACAACAGGCTGGGTGCCCGCTTTTGGGGGATGGTCCGGAGGGGGCCGCAATGGGACTACGGAATTCACTTCAAAGTCAGAGGACGGGCTTCTGCAGCGAAGATTACTTGGCATGAAACAGCATAAACGATCGTCATAGTGTCATTCCTAAGGGATCATGGGCCATAGGAAGAATGTTTGAATCACAAGACACATAAAGTACATATTTACCACTCCAAAATGGAGCATTTACTACTCCAAAATCCAATCTATACCATAAATCATTAAAGTTGATAAATTTCTTTTATTGATACGAGTAAATCTGAGTTTTACTCTTAATAGGTGAACGGTTAATCATTAATCATAATTAATCACAAATCTGTTAATCATAAATCATTTAGTAATTAATTGGACATACTTGTCTGGACACCGTGATTCATCAGGGGAGGGGGCGAAGCGTATCACTGGAAAACAAACGACGGCTTTGTCAGCACGGAAAATTATGTTGCTGACATGTCCAACGCGCAAATATTTAATATTGCCATTTATCCGAGCGAACATTATCATCCAATGATTCCAATTATTTCAAGAGTGCGCAAAAGTCAGCTACACTGTTTCCAACATGCTTAAGAACTGTATTTTCAATCCCACATACCAGACTGTACGCGAAGCGCAGGATTGCTAGATCCCGCTAACACTGGATGCGATTGGCCGTAATCAAATGAACTCTGTTCAGAAGTTCGCTCCTCGTTTGCTGTCATTTGTACAACAGGTTTTCCCAACTCATAACTGTGAACAGCGAACCTTAGTTTGGGCAGCGACACTGCTTCGAACCACGAAGCCACAAGAACGGGTGCCAGCAGTCCAAATTCAAACTTCTGAAAAATACCGGTTAACGCGAAAATACCATTAAATTAACGGTGGAAAAGAGATACCACACTCACTACTTTATGGATGCCTGCGGCACAATAATAACTGCAGCTGGCGAGTGGCAAAGGCAATCGTAGCGCATATGAATAGCCGCGTTTTATATACGCGTATTCCAATGCGTATTGTGAACGTGTATATCAGTAACGTATCGTACATACTCCGATACTCCTTCATAATTATGACGTATTATGTACTACGCTGCAACGGCGCAACCTGCATTGGCAAGCATCATGCCGTTTCTTCGTGCATGCCCGATGCACCATATTAAACCGTGCTGCTTCTCCCGTTCTTCCAATCTTTTCCTCCTTGTAAACCGCAGTGCCAAAACTGAAAAATAAAACTACATTCAAAAAATTAGGGTGCATATATAGACAGTACGAGTAAGTGCTTACGGGGAAAATTCTAGTGCGAGGAAAATTCATGAAATCCGTGTATCTACATCTCATTAATCTTACGCGCAGCTTTCTTGTGTGCAGCACACGACGACGTCAATGACACAATGGCCCCGTATGTGAGCGGTCCAGATTGGTCCCATTCCGTTTATCCATACAAATTGTTTCGTACACTTTGATCTTCCTCTTCTTTAAAAAAATATGAAATATCACAAACAGCTGCTTTTGTACGTATACGCCTGTGCGCTGTATCTGTTTGTGTATACTGTAGGCTAAATTCGGATAATTTTCGACTAGGCGGGAGACGAAATGTGTAATTTGTCGAAGTATGGAACTAATAAGTGATATCGAGCTCGAAAGACCATGTACTTGAGCTATTCAATTACTGTTTGTGCTTATGCTATCCGATACGCGCTAATTAATTTTAAGTAATTACAATGGAATTTTTATTTAAATTTTTTATTGGGCGAAAATTAGTTGCACTATAGATGCACTGGAACAGATACTGATCAATGCTTACTGGATGATGAGTATATTCTGCGTCCTAGTTTCTGTGCTTCTTTAAGACAACCGGAAGTTGTAGCTTATTTGCTTCACTGAATATGTTTTCATAATTTTACCGTGTATTTGTTCAATCATATCAGCTTGCTTTCATTTCTATGAAAGCTTTGGTAACAAAGACAGCGCTACGTAACGCAGAGACTTCGAGGTTATACAAATTATATGTACCAATTATATGTAATTTATTGCGATATTGGGTACCACTAACACAATCCTTTGGCCACCGTCAAATCGTCAAGGGCCAACTGAAAGAAATTAGCCTGGGAAACTGGTAGAATCATGGCAAAAAGGTCGAGCTAAAATAAACAAAAAGTTTTTAACGCATGCACGATAAATATTTATAAACCAAGGACGGACTTCGGTTTATTTATCTCAAAATCGAATGAAATATCGCGTACTTTCTATCGTCTAAAATTTATGCACAACCTTTTAGATTATATTAATTTTTGTTTCCAGTAACCTTACCGCCATGCAAACCAGTGAAGCAAACTGACTACCGCCGTTATAATGATGGCAGACCAGCCGTCTCGTTGCCAGCGTTTACCTGGAAAGCGTCCCGCTGCTGGAATTTAACGGATTCACGCCGCCAAGCAGGCGCTGCATTACCCGTGAATGACTGCAGTACATAGTAGGCCGACGTCTCGATCTCCGCGATGGACACACGGAATTCATTGGGTTGATCGCTTGCCATATACAGCCAATAAGACAAGCAGAAGTCCTTTGCTGTGCCATCCAAACTGACGCCGCCATGAATAACGGGTGTTCGTGCGATTGCGATATTGGGTTCAGAGGCGTCAAAAGAGCCAAATGGGGCAGGCGTTAAAGACAGGTACCACTGATCTGAAAATTAAGTGCGGTTGATCTGATATACTGTCTCTGCTGCCCGAGCATAATTCTGTTCTGTGCAGAAATGCAGTCCTCTTTTCTTCACGGAAATTTCAAAGAATATCAGGCAGCCTTACTGTGATATTACTGTGATATCATGCAGCCTTACTGTTAGCCAGTTCGTCCGGTCGATTAGGGACGTTGTCGGCCAAGAGATCCGCCTGGTTCCGCCGCATCCATGGTATGCCGAACGGGGCTACGTACATCCAACAAAGATCCGCTTCGAAATCACAGCGATACGATTCTGTGAGTAGAGACAGTTAAAATTAAGTTTCGATCAGCGATAACAGCAATCTTCACCTTTGTGCATGCTGGTGCGACTAAAATAGGTAGCATATCAAACTAACGGACAGTGGCTAACCATTTTTCATAAAATCCATAAAAAGAAGCTTAGCTATTCTTGTACGAATCCGCTTTCTGCATAATGTGACTAGTCTCATGCTGATATCGTTCCACATTAAAAACAAAAAGAGCAAATTTTGCTGTTGTACCCCACCTTGGGCATATAATATTTGACTGCAGCTGATCAGTCCCATCAGCAACACCACTGGTCGAACGGAAGCCATTGAGTACTATTACATGTGTCGACTACGGACTATGTACCGACTGATATTTGAACAGTTAACAGTTATGATATCAGCTCCGTGCTTCGTATAATACTGTACTTGCGCAATCAGAAACTGAAGTGTTTATATCCCATTCGAAGCACACATAATGACGATAGATGTTAGCCAGTTAATACGCGCAATAATCATGTCGAGGCTTGCTTGAATTTACCACGAACGACTGCGTGCATGCCTGCATGGTGATTACTAATTAGCAAACATATCCAGCGCAAAATAATAATCACTTATCCACATTGTCATACCGGTATGCAATCCTGAATGGCACTATTCTTGCTGTGTCATTTTATTATCTCGTCTTGTCACTGCTATCTCTCAACGACCTTTCAGAATTAAATATTCAAATAGAAGCATCCTGTTATGATAAAGTGGCAACAAAGACGAAAACGGCTTTTTCCAAACTATTATCATTCCGAATTGTGTCGATTATTCACAATGGCAGCAAGCTCAAATTACTGATAACACACAATTTAAAGTATCCGTGGAACGACATTAGGCACAGCCGCACAGGCATTTGCATCCCTCTGCCGAGCCGCAACCATGACGAGAATTTCGCTCTTCCTTTCCGCCTTCTTTTTGCTGGCGTTGGTAACCATTGGCCAGGCGCCGGCGTCGAGGTCTGTGAGCAAAGTAGATGGACTCCGTTCAAAAGCCGCTTCCACTCCCGCTGGAAAGGCTCCCATTCCAGCAGCCAATCGGAAACCGGCGGACAAGGAAGTGCATAAACCATTGCCGTCTGTGAACGGCTTAAAGCGAGTACAAGCTACACCACCGAACCGCCACCGGCTATCACCACCGGAACGCATGGTCAATAAAAATCTAAAGTTAGAGAAGGATGCGTCAGTGTTGGAGGGTGTGAAGATCCCCTTATTCGAGGGAGACATTGCCGGGATTCGCCAACCAAGCGAAACACGCACCGCTTTGGTATGACTGACGTTGTTCGTTTTTCTTAAGTTTAACTTAATTCTCTTGTGTTTTAAGGAGCAAAATTGACGCTGATATTGTTTCTCAGCTGAACTTACTACTCCTTTTCAGTTTAGTTGGTAAAACTGGCGCCAATATTTATTCTACGCTTAATTTAGCGTTATTAATTTCCCTTGATAAAATTGGTGCCGAAGAACTCCTTATTCTTATTAATGTATTACTTCAATCGGTTTGAACTGGGATTTGCAGCAAAGCCGATTGAAAAGCGCCATCCTCGACGGTAGCAACCAGTGGGTGGGAGCTTGCGTTTATTACATCATCGATCCTACTTTCAGTAAGCAATCAAATGTACACGCTGCACACTGCCCAGCTATCTCTTGTAGTAAAAAGTTGTAATCGGAACTTGGCATCACGTGTTTTTCTCTGTGAAAATGTTTCACGTTTCCGATTATTAAGCATTGCTAACTTGCTTATTAAGCATTGCTTATTACAATAACTGCTTGTTAACAGCGGAGGACGAGCGCCAAGTTATCTATGATGGTATGAATGAGTTTTATTACAAAGTCGAGGCAGTGCAATTCCTCGAGCGAATGGATGAGCCGGATTATATTTATATCTACCGTGGAAATGTCGGCTCAGGGTGTGTAGCGTGTTCTCGAAGGTCCATAGTTTTTTTATGGTCTGTGCAACAAAGCGTGTGGTCCGTTGCAGATGCTGGAGCTATGTCGGTCGGCAGGGCGGAATGCAATATGTCAATCTGGAGCCAGACTGCGTATACTTCAACACGGTTGTCCATGAGTTAAACCACGCCATCGGTAAGCGAGTAGAAGAATGTACAGTTTCGTGCGTCGGTTTACCAGAGCGCGCTGGTGGCGAACATTTCACTTGACACTGTATGCTAATTCGAAGCGGGTTTACATCCCATAACATAAAAAGTATTATATTAACCATTTCGGCCTTTTTGGCTTTTACGCCATCACCCAGCTTCGGTTACAGACATACAAACAGACATTTTCGTTATCGGGTTTGGAGTGCCTTGTTTGAAATCTGATGACGAAATAAAAGAACCCTGCGTACACTGATTTCTTATTTATTAGGATTCTGGCATGAACAATCGCGTTCTGACCGGGATAATTACGTCGATATCAACTGGGATAACATTCCTGAAGGTACGCTTAATCAAACCAGTTGGTGCGGTAGTTGTCTAAGCACTGCCAGCATGACAAAATATGGTACTAAAAATTACGTTTTAAAACGACTATTCTGTCCAAAAAGGAAAGTTTTTTTCCTGTGGTTCATCACGACTTGTTGTTTAATATGGTGAATATAAAGAACTATTCTGGATAAGCTGGTGATAATATTAAAGAATTTTGGTGTCCTACAGAAGAACATAAAGAACTAAAGAGCTATTTTGGCATGAGTGAATATAGAAAACTATTTTGGTTTTGTCTAATTATTTTGTTTTCCGGGACCGCGTAAATGACTTTTGCCAGTCAGTTTGGTGAATGATTTTTCCTATCTAGAGAACCAGCACAATTTCCTGTCATACGACACCTCGGAAATCACCCATTACAATCATCCATACGACTTTGGCTCAATCATGCACTACACTTGGAATTCTTTCGGTATCGATCCCAACATCTGGACGGTCTGGGCCAAATATCCCATGGCCGAACAGCACTCTATCACGCAATCGTACGGTCTGAGCGCCATGGACGCACAGGATCTCAATCGGATGTACCGGGTCTGCGGCACGGTATACACCGACAATCCGTACGGGGAAGACGGCTCTTATAGTACCTGGTTCATGAACGGGGAGGTAAGCTCGCTGCACGCGGAGTGGTACGATGTCATCTCGTACGTCATACTCAATCATGGATGTTATATCGGCATGTATCGTTTCGGCGATCACACTGGGTACCTGGGTGAGCTGCACGCTCTGGCGGCGACCTCCTTAGATTCCAATGGGGAAACAGTGGTGTATGGTGAGTTTGATCTGGCCGGTACCAGCTGGGACAATGATGTCCGTTCGGTGTACTGCTTTTGCAATTAAGACTGTTGACTCTGATGTACTCTGCTAGCGGAAAGGCCAATGTTGGTGAAAAGATATTAAAAGATGACCGGTGTGAGAATGGTTTTGCAATTAAAGCTGTGTGTACTGCTTGGATTTTATCCGCCACAGAGGCAGTAATGTTCGTTACTATTGAACAGTGGCATAGTTTTAAATTTAACTTTGCAGCAAGATGTTATTTTTGGACTTTAGCTGAGTATTTTTCAGTTGCATGTACAATTTGTACCATACTCGTACAAAAATTCGTCTCAAAAAAACGGGCGTTTATAATTACCTGCGTACCCATTACGGAACGTTGCACGATTTTAATTTATTTACTCACCACGTTTACTATTTAGGGTTCTCTATAACACCAAGTTACACCTAAATAAAGCAAAGAGATGCGAAAACGCATAAAAGGCAAAACTAACTTGACAGCAAGTGTTGCACACCATTCGCTTTGGAGGATTAAATTAGAACAATCTTCAGACTGTGATATATGATAATTATGATTTCGCTTGCGAACCGGGTTTCGATGGTACGGATCCGCACCATCGAAACCGTTGCTTTGCGGGTCTATAGCAGCGGGTGGGGTACGAACCCGGAGTGTACGGCATGGACGGATAAGCGCGATTCCACTAGCGAGACCGTGCTCAACATGCTGCGCAATGCGCAGCATGTTGCGCATGCTGCGCGATGCGCAGTGCGCATCTTCTACAATCTACATCGTCGGTGCGCCGCAGTCACAATCCATCGGGATCGCCGATTTCATTCTCGACAAAGTGGGTGAAGCCGGTGGGGGTCGAACGGTTCGCGAGGAGTTTCCACGGGTGCTGTCCAAAGCGCACCAATGGCGTGCGTGTAACGAATCTGCCAGCGCCAGCCAGCGCATCTGCGTGTAACGAACGTCCAGACACTCCAGACAGAGCATTATAAACATCAGCAAGATACTCTGACTATCGATACGCTGCAGATGGCGTATAAAGAGAATAATATGCATGCGCTATACATACGTTACCTACGTGTAGCATTCGTTTTGACGAATTCCAACATGCCGGGATAGAACAGTGCCGGACAAGGGCGACTTAATTCCAGATTATTTACACCGGGAATTCTGGAGCCATCGGGATGCTGCTCCGTGGGTACATTCGAAAATCAAGTTCAGATGTTTGTTATTAGTAACGTCTAACTTTTAAGGGAATAGCCTGGCACTGAACTCGTACACTGATAGTTTTGTTTTTAAATAGGTCTCAGTTTACTTATTCTCTGTTGATTTACATCACATAGTTTGAAGTTGAATGCATAATAATCCCAGATGTTTGTGTACGAATATGCGCTTAAATAAGTATGGTATTAAGCATGTACGTATACAATCGAAAATTCAACACGCAGACTAAACCAACCAGATGGCGATACCTTAACGGTACAGTACTTACGGGCGTTACAGATCCGAGAACGTATGACGGAATGGATAAGGGCAACCGGCACCAAGATCATTTCCGTAGAGACGGTTTCCATGCGAATTTTCGGCGGAGCGGAATGTGGGCAGGGCTTCGACAGCATGGACACATACAACTTAGGACAAAAAAGACGCATAATCCCACCCAAAGCAATCCGAATGCATGCGGCGCAGTGCGCTGTACGACTCAGCTAAAATATCCGGTTGTCGTACAAGCGCACTTGCCACATGCGTACGGATATCTGGGTATGGGGCTATGCGTCTTTTTAGTCCTAAGCTGTATGATGATGCCGTACAAGCAAAGGCAACAACACGGTGGTGCCGGGCATCATCATCACGGCGGGAATCATCACCACCACAACCACTACCGTCATAATGCTCGCTCGCGCTCACCAACGCATTCGTAGCGAGAGAGAAATTAATTTCGGATCCACCGCTAACCATACAACGCCATCCATAGGATCAGGGCCATATCTTGGCCCAGAACGCCATCTGATACTGTATCGCGTGTACTTGGATGGAGCGTATCCCGATCCGCCGGGATACAAAGAAGTCAGCACCATTCTCGAGATACAGATTTACAAATTCTGTAAAACTTATTTTTAACATAGCAGAATTTGTTAAAGCGGTGGCTTATTAGGGATGTTTATGATTCATCTTTGCTCTTTGCTTTGAAAGTCGAAAACTGGCGTTTTACCGCCAGGTTGCACAACGGGGACGAAGAGTGTCTTGTAATCAGACGTTCAAAGACTGGTGGTCTTGATTTGCGACACGGTTTGATTGCTATGGCAAAATTAGTCAATTGCAAAAGGAGCAATGCCGCAATAATTTAATTCTATACTTTAATTTATTGTCATGTGCAACGGGACACTGTCCTCTCAAGGCATTCGATACTCCAAAAACATAATAAATCGGTCAAAGGTCACACAACAGGCACAATACGAGATGTTATATTTCATTATTTCATGAAAAAGCATTAGAACAATTTAACCAAACTGAGTATGGCTAGGCCAGCAACAGAAACTGTGAAACTACACAAAGTGAGCAGAAGATTACGGGAGTCGCAGATCTTGCTAATAATGTGAGAAGTACGAGTAATAGTAAAATATTGGGTGAATCAAAAAGGGGAAAGCGATCGCACTTGAAAAAACTCAGCTAATTATTCGACTCCCGAGACACTTTGTTGTTCATACCACAAAGCGATCGATTGATCGTACAGATCGCGTTTGTAAACGAACGCTTACGAGTTTTAAATGCGCAATACAGGGAAAGTCTCCTGCACTTTTTTTTTTCTGATACCAAGTTATCAACATACGAGATGCATGACGTACATGCATGCATGACGTCCAGTGAGCCTATGCCCTATTGCCGCTAGCAGTGTTTTGCGCTTATGGGCGCTATAACGCAGATACTGCAGTTCTTTGACGCACTGGAAACGCGGTAATTGATATATTGGTGTCGTATCGATTAGTCTTAATCAAGTTCAACAAAACGTGATTAACATTTGTCCTTTAAATTTTACTTCACTATATCTCCTAAACCGGAAGGTGAAACTTGCACGCAAAACATAATTCATGGCAGCTAATACAAAGAATTTAGACCAGCTAATCAATTCCAGTATAAAAACGGAAATATTTCTTACTTGCTGGAGATGCAAGGTGCATACGCGAAATTGGTAGTACCTGTCAGCCTTGGGAGTTGTCAAAAAAATTTGAACTGCATTTAAACCAGCACAAGATCGAACGCAAATACTGGAGTTATGAATAACTTTGCAGTCCCAACGAGGTTTGAATCAGAAACGAAACCGAATATGCGTCAGTTGGTGACGAATCGCTCTTAAGCACGTTACCCTTGTTACCAATATCTCTTTATACTTTATTTTTATTTTGTAGCACGTTTTATGTTTTTCAATGGTTCATTTTTTTTATCTGTATATCTAATTCTCGTGTTCTGAGTTTGTTAAATAGGGGTCATGTTCCCAGTTGTTCAACGAAGATACGGACGGCGATGCAGCACACCGCTGGGCATTTCCGAATTGTTCGGTCCAAAACCGAGTCAGTTCACTGAAGTCCTCACGGCCGGCTTCCCATCTTCCTGATGATCCGAATTCCATGTACCCTGCATTGGCATTCGGACCGTCAACACGGCTAACAATACAGAAAACGTTCAATAACAGCAATCCGAAGACGGCGATCGTGTGATAAAATGAGTCGTTATCCGGGTGTAGGGTGAAATATTGAGAACAATTACTAAACTAAAATGACTAATTACCCAGTATGAGCAATTTGGTGCAACATGTTGCGAAAATTACAGACAACGCGAGCGTCCACCGTGCGGTTGTTGATAAGGGCTTTCATCGGTCCAGCGAACATCATTACCAAATCTAGTCCATGAAAACTCCCTGTGAACCACAAGAACGTCACATTTCAAGTCCTGTCACAGAAACCCAGAAAATGTCCTGATATTTGCTAAAAAAACTGATAGTTGCTGTTGTTTTTTCTTCTTCACCTAAACCTTTAAATTTTGGATTGTACGATATACGGTACAGGTGATTGGGCACTTGCGAAGAAAACGATCGGTTGGCGTATGCACGAGCTTCTTGAATTGCCGAATAGGCGAACATAATGTCAGTAACCATCTGCAATTGCACACTATTAAAAACCCGTTTTACCTAGTACAAGCTTGTCGAGAAATTATGGGTGCATGAAGACAGCGAAGAATGCACATCTGTGGGTTGCGCCACATTGTAGTGTAGTGGCAACTGTTCTAGTGCCAACATAGCGCTAAGTGTGCGCTGCCGGTTCCTTCACGCCCTCAATTCCTCGACAAGGTTGTACACTGGTTGAGACTGAAGAGGCGAAAACGACGTACATGAAAAGTTTTTCGCATAGTGTTGCGGTTTTCATCCGATTCACAGATTTTGTAGTATTGCAAGATTTGTTCCACTGTTTTCGTAAGATTGCAGGGATGGATTAATTCAGCGTAATATCTCACAATCTCCTCAGCCGTTTGGAAATCAAAGGTGGAATTGGGCAGAAATGGTTTTCCAATGGTTTTAAAGTGCGTCACTGCAATTAACGTACCCAATAAAACACTCTGTACCGTAGACTATAATGCTTTTCGTAAATCAGTTAACCGGCATCCTACCCATTATAGTCATTGACGAATCCTCACGCAGATATCCGGTAACAAAGATGCTGTCCCGTTTTGACTCACTAGGCTGTTGCTTGCTGATCATAACTGCTGGAGACTCCGTCAGGTGCACCCCATCAATTACAGGAGCGAACATACTCCACGGCTAAAGTCGCGCAAACGTATTATTATGTAGTACAAAACTGTATAAATCGTACGAAGAGTAGCGCACTACTGTTAGTACGGATGTTAGTAGCTCAAAATTAATAAAATTATTACTTCCTTGCACAAGTGCAGTAATAATAGTGGTACAAGAAGTAAGTAACACGTAAGTACTTGTAGGCTTGTAGCTGGTGCGTGAACTGAATGTATGTATTTCCTAGTGTGTTAACAGCCAAGCAAAAGACAGTAGATTTCTTTAACTATGCAAATATTTCTGGGTGCCCAGAACAGCCCGTAGTACTGGCAAAAATTGTGAGGAGATCAATCCCCCCGGACCAGAAAGCAAAAATCTGCATTTCTCATCCAGTTTTTTATCAAAGCGGCGTGGTAAAAAAATCATGCGCATGATAAAGTGGCAGCATTAATTTAGCTCAATACTCGGAGTGACGGATTACAAGCTCGAAGTTGACACTGCAAGAAACGCTGAAGCAATAACAAAATCACTCAAGGCACTTCGCCGATCGACGACATGTTAGGTTTAAATCGCTGTTAATAAAAGATTGTTTTATCGAATTTGAAAAGGTTGACCAATTTTTACCGTAAAGTTTCTCTCGATTCGCTTGATGGCCCGCTGCATCTGCTCCAGTGTAGCACTTGTGAGACATTGAACGAGCTGTTCCTGCGTAGCGTTTGGGCATCCAAGTAATACGGATATTTCGTCAGTAAGGCGTTTTGGCGTTCGATTGATCGACCATGACGAAAACATACTCCCACTCATTGCTATTCCGGCCCGAACACTCTCTACGAAGCAGAGGACGTGGAACCCTTCTTGTATCACCAAGAAAGCACCATATTTAAGCATTAAAATGAAATAACACCTCGAACGTTTTTATCCAAAAACATGGCTGATGTGAGGGCGCCACCTGCACTCTGCCCCATAATAGTAATGGCGTGCGGGTCTCCGCCAAACTTTTCGATGTGCTTTTGCACCCATTTTAAGGCAAATTTGATATCTCCGATGCCGTAGTTGCCTTTAATGGTTTCGTCTCCTGTGCTTAAAAATCCTACAAAGATTTTCTCTCTTTAAAAAGTTAGATGCATTTTTGGTTAATATAAACGTGCAGGAGAAAAATTCAGTTAGCGTAAAGTAGTCGTGCAACGCACGGTTACCTACCATATGCCGACACGCGGTAGTTTATAATGACGACCACGGCATTTACGGCTCCGGATAATTCCGTGGCATTGTACATATTTTTGTGGCCAACTGCAAAACATTCCGTACATTGGCTGCTTCAGCAGTAGTAAAATAAGCTGATATTGAGCAGAACAAAATTTCAAAAGTGACGCGCTTTGAAAGCCTCCACCATAGATGAAAAATAAAACAGGCAGGTGGCCGTCGTTTGAAGTCTGGCTAACCGGTGGCACATAGACGTCCAAGTAGAGGCAATCTTCGCTCACAGTCAAATTGCCTGTTGAGAAAAATCATTACGAAATACGCCGGATGCATGAACAACTATAGCTCACGTCTAGGGAATCCAGGCATCGAGAATTTTTGTTGCGGACACGGAAAGCCCTGCTTTGGGTGTTTCGGGTCGGATAAGTATACAAAATCATTATTTTCCTGGGCGTGCTACGAAAATATGCGCTTGGAAAAGTGACAGCAATAATTTAGAGCAATTTTGACGCTTATAATACTGTTAAAATAACAGTTGTGCATCAAAAAGTTTCACAGGAAAGCATATCGATGAGCAGGGCACAGATAACAAAGTTAGGTACTGCGACATTCTTCAGCTGTTGCACAGCAGTTAAGGAATATATAGTCGATATTACCTGAAACCTCTTAGCTGTACCGTAGCGGATGCCGTAATAGATATACCCAAATGTGGCGGGATCATTTTCGCAGTGAAATGGCTCGCCTTTCAGGACGACCTCTGGCGTCAACTGTATGCGATTTCTTCGGTTAGGCTCAATTTCTGCTAGCGTGTACACCACAGAAGCCATTCGTATGATCAAAATCATAGCTGTCTGCCTATTTACATTCATTTTCATTTATACGGAATGCTGAAGACGATCGAGCAAAAAAGTTTGCGGGCGAAGATTTATCCTGGCTGCTGCAACAGACTAAGAAACTTTCGAGCGACATAACCCGTAACAACTGTGCTTGTCAATGCTCAGGCTTGTCAGATGATCGGTGATATCAATTCTGAAAAGATTGTATCCAGGCAGCTTCTGATAGTAACTGGAGATATTATCTTTTGATGGGAAATGGTGTAGATTAACGTAATAGTATTCTACTATCAGCTGGCTCACATGTGTCAACTCGCAAAACTTTTTCGTGTTGCTTTGTACTGTAATTCGTTGCGTTTTATTTGTGTAGGTAAATGTTACGTGACCACGTACGTACGTAACGTCTGTCAAATTTTAAAATGAAGGCAAAAGCGTTAGAACCACTTTTAAAATAGCAGATATGCTGCACTTGATTACAGATCTCAATCGCTTTTACATTTAGGTGAATCTGACCACGTAGGATGTTTTTGTATCCAAAATTAGTTTAGAATTTTATTTTCATCGAGTTTTCAACAGAACGATTGCTACCATCAGCCAGAGCCTGAAGACTGATTTGAACCGCATCATGTTTCGTGTCAGAGGCAGGATTGAACCGTATCGTTTACCGTCTGCGCGTTGCGATCACTCCAACTTATCAACGGTACGGTCACGATACGGTGGTCCACCGTATCGTATACCGGACCGTATTTCGCGACTGTGGGGCGATAATAATCTATTAAGTACACCGAAACACGTTGTAGCTGTTTTTATTTTTTATTTTGCGATATAGTGCCAGCAAGCAAATACATCTTTGGCACGGTGTGTCGCTTTAACAGTTTGGGTGTTATTATTCCTTGTGGATTTATTACTGCGCCGAAATAGATGTATCCAATTTTTTGGAATCATTTTCATAATGAAATTACTAGCCTGCCAGGACGACTTGTGGCGCCAGTTGTACATGAAATCGCCCGCCGGCGATGACGGCCGGCTAAAGGGCTATTCTTTCAGTTGACAGCCGGCTGAAGCCCTTGGCCGGTTAACTCAACCCGGCTGGTATAGTCTCAGCCGGCTAGAAACCTCTTAAACCGAAAAACCTTTTCTAAGCTGAAAAACCTTTTAAGTTCATTATCAACTGAGTTTGTCATTGCCGGTTGACCTCTGTTATCAGTTTCTGAAGGATTGTATTCAGAAACATTCTGATCATAATAATATTTGATCTATGGAAATGGTAAGTGCTCCTGTATTAGTACTCACCCCCTGAGTCCTTTTCACGTTCACATAAGCTAAAGTTCAGAAACGAGAAACACATACAAGCACATAAATTTTTCTTGTTGTTTTTCAAAATTTGTTTTCCCAAGAAGGGGAGGTATCCCACCCCCGAAAACGAGCCTGTAGATGTGAATGTAATGCTTCGAGCGATTTTGCTGGGTCCCTGGCTAAGCTGACCATTCTGACGGCGCATGTGCACGGAAAGTAAGATCTGGCTAACACCAGGTGGGACAATGATGTCCGTTCGGTACACTGCTATTGTAATCACTGTAACTTCGGTACGCAGGTTCTGCAAACGGAAAGGCGAATGCTGTTGAAGTGAACTTGGTGATGTTGGTTTTTTGATTACCGGGTTTCGTGCATCGTTAAGTTTATTGTTTGTTACGGGCGTCATAGGTGCCCCGGTCAAATTACAAGGCCAGCAATCGAAAGTACAAGACGCACACTGTCTCTTTTTGGCTCACGATGAATATTAATTTTTATGGTATATAATAAAAAAAGTGACAGAGTCGCTATTTGCGTTCGAAAAATCAGGGTTATAAGAGGACATCATTATAACTTTCGTGTCCCTAATTAGGGACACGAAAGTTTCGGCAATATGCCGGTAGAACGAGTACTATTTACGTTCAGCGACTGAATTGCGATCCTTTGCTACAGTTTATTTTTTATCGCAAATGCACCAGAAACGCGTTTTCTACCAATAATCATAGTTCATATTTATCTCTCGTCTTCGAAGGGGGTTAGGTAAGGGTCAACGCGCTGCCCGTGATTCAACGAAAGTGCGGACGGCAGTGCAGCACAAATTTGAGACTTTTCGATTTGTTCGGTCCAGAACTGAGATAGTCTACTGAAATCCTCAAGGCCGGCTTCCCATCTTCCCGACGTTCCGAATTCCATATACCCTTCCCTGGCATTTGGGCCGTCAACACGGCTGAAAATACGCACAAATGTTCAACAACAGCGCTTGTAGCCGGCAGACATGTTGGCCTGTTGACTGTTGGCGACCGCGCGATAAAATAAATTTCTACAGTTTATACAAAAACCGGTGTCCGGGGCCTGGTGTAGTGCGAGGCAATGAGAGAAAAATAATTACCAAATCATAACGATTAAGTAATTACCCCGTTTGAACAATTTGATGGAACATGTTCCGAAAGTTATTGACAACAACAGCATTCAAGGTGCGATTGTCCATCATGGCTTTCATCTGTCCGGAGAACAGCATTACCAAATCCAGACCATGGAAACTGCCTGTGAACCATGAAAACCGTCATATTTACAGTCCTATCCCAAAAATTCGGGACGCGTTCTCATTCGGGAAGCATTCGGGAAGCATAAATTATCGTAGCTGTTTTTTGTTTTGTTGTACCTAAACCCTTAAACTTTGGATCGTACGATATACGGTAAAGGTGGCTGGTCACATGCGAAGAAAACGATCGGTTGGAATATGCACGAGCTTCTTGAACTGCCGAAAACGCGAACATAATGTCAGTTACCACCTGCAATTGTAAACTGTGTTAGTAATCAACTTGTTGCACAGTTGCTGGCGCTAAATATTCCGAAGCAATGTACATGAAAGGTTTTCCGCATAGTAGCACGATCCACATCGTTTGCATCGAATTTGTAGTGTTGCAGGATTTGTTCCACCGTTTTCGTAAGATTGCGGGGATGAATCAGACGAGCGTAAAACGTCACAATCTCTTTTGCCATGGGGAAATCAAATGTCGAATTAGGCAAAAATGGTTTTTTCATGCTCCGAAACTGTGTCACTACAATTAAAATCACCAGTAAAACAGATGATACTACCGTTTTTCGTAAATCAGTGTAATCATACCCATTATGGACATTGACGAATCCTCGCGCAGATATCCGGTAACAAAGATCCCTTCGCGTTTTGACTCTTTCGGCGGTTGCTTGCTAATCATCAGTGCTGGAGGCTCCGGTAGATGCACACCATCAATTACAGGAGCAAACATGTTCCACGGCCGTAAAAAAAAGTAATGCGATATTACACAAATCACACGACGAGTAGCACACTTAATTGTACTTAGTGCAGATATTGAAAGCTCAGATAGAAGTACATACGTAAATGATAGCTGCACCACGTACGACGTTTCTTGCAATTTTAATACTGAAACTGACACCTACAGGCAACAGTAGCATGTTGATAGCGAAGCACGAGACAGTCGATTTACTTAATTGTGCAAATATTTCTGGAACTGTGCAATAAAGGTTTGCTGACCGAATGCTCAATATTAGAAGGCAGAAAACTGCGTTTCTCACCCAGCTGGGTCTGTCAATGCGGACGAATATTCAGATTCAAAAAAATTACAAGCTGAGATTCATAATTGCAAGAAACGTTAGTAACGGCGTCTTAAGTACGAAGCAAGTTGCTCACATGATAAGTCTTAAGCCGCTATCGATTTCGAAGGGTTGACAGTTTTTACCGTAAACTTTTTTTCAATGCGCTGGATGACATTTTGCATCTGCTCCAATGGGACCGTCGTGAGACACTGGACGAACTGAGCCTGTGTAGCGTTTGGACACCCAAGTAAAAGGGATAATTTGTCTGCAAGACGTTTTGGCGTTCGGTTGATCGACCACGGCGAAAACATACTCCCACTCATCGCTATTCCGGCGCGAACACTTTCTACGAAAATAACGCGTAGAACCCTTTTTATATCACGAAGAAAATTATTTTAAGCTATTTTCCGCGTACAAGCTGGGAAAGATTCGCACCTCGAACGTTTTTGTCCAGAAACATTGCTGATGTAAGCGCACCGCCAGCGCTCTGCCCCATAATAGTAATGGCTTCCGGGTCTCCACCAAACTTTTCGATGTGTTTCCGCACCCATTGTAGGGCTACTTTAATATCTCCGATTCCATAGTTGCCTTTAATTGCTCCATCTCCTGTGCTTAAAAATCCTGAAAGGTTTTCCTTACGTTGAAAGGATACGATTAACGGTGTATTGTAGATTCTGATTGACGTGCAAATTGAGAAGAAAACGTCAGTTGTTTTACAGTAGAGCATACCGTAGGCCGACACTCGATAGTTAATAATGACCACCACGGCATTTACTGCTCCGGATAACTCCGTGGCATTATACATGTTTTTGTGGCCAACTGCAAACCAATCCGTACAGTTGTTACTTTAGCATTGGCAGAGTAGACTGATAATGTGCAAATTCTCGTAAGTCACGCGCTTTGAAAGCCTCCTCCATAAATGAAGAAGAGAACTGGCAGCTTGCTGTCGTTTCTGGTCTGGCTAACCGGGGGCACATAGACGTCCAAATACAGGCAATCTTCGCTGATAGTCAGATTACCTGTTGAAGCAAATCACTCAACGGTGCCGACGAACTGAACCGCAAGCTTGCAGTTTACTTGTCACCTTATTATACGTATATAGTATAGCGTAAATATGATCGGATAAAATACAATAATTAAAAGTTCATATAAGAATAGACCGATGTTGATGAACCGTTACGGCTCACGTTTTGGGAAGCCAGGCATCGCAAATGCATGTTGAGGACATGGAAAGCCCTGTTTCGGTTGCTTCGGGTCGGATAAATACGCAAAATCCATACTTTCGTCGGCATGCTGCGAAAAATATGCGCGTGAAATATTTGACACAATATTGACAGTCGAAATACTCTTGCAGTATACGGTTCTCCATCAGAAATTCTGACGGCAAAGTAGAGCGATGCGGAACGTACTCGTTTGAGAACTTACTAGTACAAATGAATTGGGCGTCGAATGCATAAAATTCAGTACTGCACTAATTTTCCGATGTTAAACAGTACTGTAGTTAAAATAATGATATTATAGTCGTTATGGCATTACCTGGAATCTTTTAGCAATACCATAGCGGATGCCATAATAGGTATATCCAAATTTTGTGGGATCATTTTCACAATGAAATGGCTCGCCTGTCAAAGCGACTTCTGGTGTCAGCTGTACGTGACTTCTACCCTCATGCTCAATTTCTGCAAGTGTATATATCACAAAAGCCGAACATATCACCAAACTGCTAACTGCGTGCTTCGATGCATTCATTTTCAACAGAAATGTAGATCTTTTGAAATGTTGAAATATTCGAACATCGAGCACTGCCATACTAGCAAATGCCATCAACAAATTGTAAGACGTTAAAGCAACATTTTCAGTAGCAGTTGTGCTTGTCATTGTCAGAATGTCATGAAGATTGATATCACCATCGAAGAGATTGTATCCAAGCAGCTTCTGATAGCACTCGCGAGATTATTATCTTTTAATCTGTGGGAAGTGGTACATAGTGCCGTACGTTTTTAAAGTGCTTACCCGCTGACTGATCTTTGCTCAGTCGCGTAAACTGTTTGCAATTTTTTTGTGATTTACTGCATTTTGTAGCTAGTTTTACATGAGTATAAAATATCTTTTGTAAATAAAAATTCATTACCTTTAGACCGTTTTTGCAATTTAGCGAATATGTTAAAAAGTTTATCAGGGATCTCATCAGTTTTTACGTTTACGGGTACCTCCCAACGCAGACTTGATGGTTGGTAAGATGGAATAGAAATTTAGAAAAGAGATATTAACCGCACCAAAACGCGCAACAAATTCATTTCTTTTCTGGTTTGCGATAGCTTAGCAGACAGTTGTATCTGTAGCGCGGAGAGGCAGCGTTATCCCTTCAGTTTTTTCTTGTTCTTTGTACATTCAGTGCCGCGCCCGTGATGATCGAACAATCAACAAAACAAAACACTACAATTTTTTCTTGCCCAGATGCACTGAAAATAACATAACGTTTACTGACGTTCTGTGTAAGCAATGAAATTATTTTCATGCAATGTCATTGAACTTACTTCTATCATCACCTCCGCTTTGTACCTACGAAATTTCAAATTGGATTTTAAATCGGCGGGTTGAGCTATGCAGACTCCCGCGAACGCAACGCCTTCGAAACTGTATCCGTGTAATCAGAATTACTGTAGTAGTAGCGGAGGAGCGGTTATTTAACACAGAGCTTTAATTTCCATACAGTTTAAAATAATTGGTCGTAGGTTTTTCCTCTTTAGTGCTCTTTCCACTACGCGTCTGTTAAATATGGATGACTATTAAAGCAAACCTTTGTTGTGATGGATTATTTATTTTCACAGCAATCAAAAATAGGTTATGATAACCATCAGCTTGGTTTTAAGAAAATATACCGGCTTACGTCTTGCCGGCGTAATGCCAGAAGGATGTGTGAAACTGGCGCTGTAATTAAGCGCATCCCACGTCTTTGTCTGCGGCACACCGGCGCTTTCCATTTTTCCATCAATCAATACGCCACCTTCAAGTATCTGCGGCACGTTTCCTTGTTCCCGACAGATTGAGCGGATACAGGTGCAAATTTAGCTCTTAACCGTAATACAAGTGTACAAAATGTTCTCTCACCTGGACGCCTTAGGAGCGGCGCGTGCGCCGCATAAAACATGCCTGTCTTTTGTTTAGCGGCTCTGCGCAACTGCGTCCGCGGAAAAGCGCAATCACGATCAAGCGCCGATTAAAAGCGCTTGGTTCGTGTGCTCGTTGCTGCTGTAGCTGTTAGACGTTAGAAATTTAACATACTTCAACACACACACCGATGCAGTTTTCCGTAAAATGGTTAGGAAAAATCACTGCGGTGCGGAGAACTTTACTAACGGTTAAAAATGTGGCGATTTGTTATAATAATACTGTTTTTATTATGGCGGCGGATGTGGACGTACAATTTGACGATGTGTTTTATATGGGAAGATGATTCCTTCTTCTCCAGTTTTAACCGCTCGGCGGCGGTGGTCGACATTGGAATACAGCACGCTAATGATGCTATCTTGCCGGAGGAATTACGCGTCCGTACTGTGTATCACAGTTCGGGCTTGTCGTGTGGGAAGACCATGTACGCGGTCGTGTCAAAGGTTTATGATATGCTTAATTCGGGGGTTAAATGCAACGCTTTCCTTGGACCAAGTAAGTTGCTGAACTTTCTATTTTCTACTTTACGGTAATAATACGTTTTCAGGCAACTGAACAGGACTTACACGTTAACGTTTTCGCTAATGTCTTACTTTTCTATTTAAATTGATTTCCAGCATTATAATAGACCTTTAATAAGTATCACAATGCTAGTACAAAACTGAGTACCAAAGCAGAATATGATTTATAATAAAAACACTTCTTCGATGCTATCCTGTTCGGGGATTGTAATTTGTACCCATCACGCATATCGCGTTTCCCCGATGCATTTGAATAGATAGCCGCTGCCTAAAAAACTCTTTTGCGCATTTGGCCGGTAGCAGTTTCCAGGTACTATTAATTACGCTATCAAATATTTTTCTCATTTAAGCTGGAAGAAAATTGTACTGTAATTTTAATCGTAATAATTTTGGTTGTGCCATATGTATTGCTCTGTAACCTGCCACCATTTTCAGGAGATACCGAAACGACGTTTCCTGGCATGATTGGGAGTTTAATTACTGTTTTTGTTCCTGCCGAATAATTTTAAATTTTCTGCAAAAGCACCTAATTTTTTATCTCCCCAAATAAAATTGTTTATTCTTATTAATAAGTTTACTATTTAAACGGGCTGATTTAGGCTGCCCGCACACCGCCGCAGCCCTATACGGTTTCGCCGAGAATCTCCGCATCCCCATGTTCGGACTGCCAGCCGGTGGGGCTTGGGCCTTACAAGTGGACTCACAGGACGCCGACTTTGATCTGATCCTGTATCCGGTGTACGGCTACGGTGACATGACAGATTTCCTGCTGGCGCTGCTGGACCGTTTCAAGTACCAGCACCTGACAATCTTCCAGGACGACTCGTATGCCTTTTTCAGCACGGTGGTGGAGCCGTTAATGAGAATGATCCGTTTACGCAATCGCCGGCTACACGATAACATTGTGGTCACGATTGTCAAGAGTCTGGAGATGGATATAGAACAGTATGCACCGCTGCTGCGGGCGGCCAGCGATCGATCCCGCGGTAATAGACAGCTTTAACGAGGCAGCTAAATCTCGGGCGTAATCCCCGCTGAATTAGCTGTTAGAGTAATCCTGGTGTATTCTTGTAGTGTTCATTTTGCTGTGCCATGCCGACGGGATTCGCGAGATCATGGTAACCGGGTATGCTTGACCTTTTTCCGGCAATTATGATCATGTTGCGTCTTTTTATAGATCTCAGCGCATCAGCATGGTTTTACGAACGGCGAGCATGTATGGCGCGTTGTCTCCTTTCGAAGTGTGAAAACGTTGACAGCATTGCTTAATTAACAGTATTGCTTCGTTTGCAGTTATACATTGCCATTGAATTGTACGATCTGCACTACTGGGGCAAAATTAATCCAGTGCAGAAGGACGCATATGATACGGTAAGATGAAAAGTCTACTATGAAACAGCAGACTACTTAATAAAAACTTGAATACGTTGAGCCTAGAAGTGATAACAATTACGTTGCATTTGCATTCCCCGCCGCGGACCACATAGGTGGAACACTTTTAATTCTGCGCGTCCTGAAAGTGAAATCTGAGTTTTTAGCGAATTTTTCAAGCAAAGCTTACGACGAGATTTATATTTTATTGATTAAAATGCAGGGTTGTATTAATTTAATCGGTCAAAAGTCTGGCAAACAAGAAGCGTAACAACAGATAGCTCTATTTAAAATGCACAGAGAGGTTTTCTTGGTTACACCTTCTATTTTTTTCTCGTAGACATTATTTCTGATAGAAATGATGCTATGTGTGTTTGGTACTAACATTACACAGGAATTGTCTAAGAACAACCGTCGCTTATGGAATCGGATTTCTTTTCACTGTAAGTAGATAAGCTAATAAAATGTAGGAATACTGGAAATATTATCCAGCGCCTCCGGGTGATTTTGCTGGCGGCATCAGTTCACAAATATAACTTAGTGAGAAAATGGCCTGCAATCGGAGAAACTATTTCCGCATTTGTTGCTTTCTCTAGAAGGTCTAACGGTTTTGTGGTTACCCTTTACATCACGTGAATTAGAATACAGTAATTTGACCCTGTTTTTTTGGACAGCAATATTTAATGACTTTCCTGTATTTTGTTCTGTCAGTAATCACTTGAGCACCGTGAGCCTGTGACAAGGTCGCTGCTCCGCACAATTCTCGTGGTGATCGAATACTGATGTCACTAATGACAAGCATTAAGGAAAACGGTCGTTGAAATTCTGCTGAATAATTGTGATGATGGTTGCAACAGTCCACTTTTCCACAGTTCTTGGAATATTTTCTGTACTTGTGCCCGCGGCAACGTGAACGGTTCAAAAGATGCCCATCTGAACTGGTGCGCGCATTCAGATAAAAAGGGATTTAGATGGAGGCATCTATTGACACGACGCGAAGTTGCTGCTATCACGTTGGGGTTTATAAGAATTTTATTGTCACTTTTATAGAAAGCGTAAATTCAGCTACCACCTCACAGTTGTCTCCACAGCGTATCAGATTTTAGCGAGACAAGGTTGTGCGTGAGCATAGTCAATAAAACTGCATTGGCCCAGTGTATCCCACGCACAGAACGGCATTTATGACGGCGTTTTGTTCAACGGTATACAATCTGTAATTATAATATATTATCTGTCTTACGGTTTTCACTTGGCCTTGTTGTTTTTATTTGAATAAAACGGTGTGATTTCTCGATTCAGATTGCAGCCGACGCGTTTAGCAGTCTGCTGCTTTTGGGCTTTGACGATGAAAACGAGGAGTATGATCACGAGTTTGCGCGGGAAATTAAGATGACGGCCAGGAAGAAATACGGCTATCTGTTTAATCCACTGGAGCCGGTCGGTTCGAGGAATCTTTTGCCGGAAATATGAAAATAATATGCATGTTTTCATTTTGGCTTGTCGTACAGATTGATCCGGTTCTGGCGGGGATGTACGAATCCATACTGATGTACACCAGCACAGTCACGGAGCTGCACACACTGGGCGGCAATTACACGGATGGCTATGACATTGTCCACAAGATTTTTAACTCGACGTTCAACAGTTTCCAAGGAAGCCAGTTTTGGATGGGCGATGATGGAGAGCGGGACCGCACGTTCAATGTGGAGTATTATAATAAAGCGGCTAAACAATTTGAGGCAAGTGAAATATCAAGAAAGCTGATATACTGCAATTATCGGTTTTCTTTCCGTCAAGCTTATGAAGCAAATTGTAATCCGGATCGGATTTTTCTGTATTTTGCATCGTATGCTTGCCAGTCACCCCGTTCCTCCTACTAACAATATTATTGAGATAGATCATTATCGTATATGATTTTAAAAGCGTCATTTTTTTATTATCAAATAAGGTTTGTATTTAACGCTACTACTTTGAATTTTACTGCATGCATTATCATTATGGCCTTTCCTTCGTTTGCTTTGCTATTCGAATATTTCGTCTCTCCAGATTTTCCTTCACTATGATCAACACACGACGGAGATTTTCCATCTGGTACACAATATCCGCTGGCCCTCGGCCAACGGCCTACTCCCTCCCGATGAACCGGTGTGCGGATACCGTGGCGACAAATGCATATCCACTGGGCCATCATCTGGCGTCTTGGCCGCCGTGGTTGTTGTCCCGTTGTTATTTGTTTTTGGCGTGTCCGCCGTGGCGGCATTTGTTTTCATCAAGCTCTGGTATGCCAGTTTGACGTTGATGTCGCAAGAGGTACTGAATTATAACTGTTGTTATTTTGTTCAGGAAAATTCGCTCAGCTTATAATCCAAACTGGTGGCGCATTATGGATGAGGAGCTGGACATCAAAATGGATCGGACCGGCAGTGAATCGAGAAAAACATTGGTTTGTTCACACAACACTGTTCATAATATTTCAGTACTGATAATAAATTACTGTATTTTTTCTTACGATATACGTATTTTGCAGTCAATGTTCGATTATTGTTAACTGCAATTTCAGCGAAGTGTGTCAACCGGCGGCACCCATGTCTCCTCCATGATGGTGGACATTTTAGCCGCTTTTAACGGCACCCTGGTAGAATTAACCGATTTATCTGTTGTAATGAAAGCGCCCACCAATGACCTCATCGAACAACTGAATCTGGTACACTCCTTTTATGGTGGGTTTTTTAGTAAGAATGAATGAAAATTCAGTAATCTGTCACTGTAGATAAAAAAGGTCGATCACGCCAACTGCCAACATGTTATCGGAATATCCCTACGAAGCGACGGGATTTGCCATTATTTGGTCGGTGAACTGTGTCCCAAGGGCTGCTTGACGGATATCCTAGAGAGCGAGATGCTCAAACTGGACTGGTTCTTTAAAAATTCTTTGATACGGGACGTCGTACATGTAAGCAGTTCAGACACATTTTCCACAAATAACCGTGTCATGCAAAACGTCATGCAAAACTGCACTCGTTAAAAGCAATATGCTGCTTATTGCGTCGCCTATGACACTTAATGTTGCATCTATCACTGACTATTAGTTTAAAACTGCCGTAAATTGTACTAATGGGATACTGCCCAGTAAAAGCAGCGTGGCTATATAGCCATACAGGAATAATTTTATGAGGGCGGAATCGCGGAATATTATTGCCTGTGAATTGAGAATACATGCTGGCTAAAAATACCTAAATAACAGACAGTAATTACGGTAATCAAATTGCTACCGGCTGCTGTAGGGCATGACCTACCTGCACACCACCGAAATTCACTCCCACGGCTTCCTGTCATCCCAGACGTGCCTGATCGATTCGCGGTTCACCTTGAAAGTGGCCGACTATGGCCTGCCGTTCTCCCGCCGGGAATCCGATCTGGCGCCACCGCGACCGGCCAAACAGGTGCAATCGCTGACGGTATATCTTTGGCGCGCACCGGAACTCCTACGACAGACTATGCCTCCGAAGGGCACACAGGTTAAATTATCTACCACGGACTATTTTCGCCTAAATGATAACTGTTCGACAATTTTAGAAAGGCGACGTGTACAGTTTCGCAATAATCCTCCAGCAGATCATTTTACGTAGTGGGCCATTCGAACTGCCCAGTGATCCCTTGGAGTTGTCGGAAGCAGAGATAATACAAGAGGTACCGATGTAACACTCTGTACTTGAGATTTTGTTAATGTTTTTTAGATGCCGACATGTACTCGAATCAAATTAAAATTCGCCGCAAGTCAGCCTTTTCAAGTTTTGATGTTTAAAACAATACAAAAGTGACTATTTTGAGTACGTAGTACTTCGTGTTAAGTCTGAAACATTCAATAAATTATAAAGAAAACTACATTTAAATTTACATAAAAATTAAAATAAATTAAAACATCTAAAATCAGAATCAAAAACAAATTTATTAGAAATTAAAAAAAAATGTGAAATAAATTTGATTTTTGCCGTTCATAATATTATGGCTCTTTTCGATCATTATGAAAGGTCATAGCGGCTAATATCCCTCCTGTGCGGCCACGCGTACCACGTGCGTCCTGTTCCAATGAACTGTATGATCTGATGGAGCGCTGCTGGGAAGAGATCCCGGTTGAGCGCCCCACGTTCCCCAAGATTAAAGATCAGCTGAAACGAATCATTGGCAACGTGGGCGATAATATTGTGGATCTGCTGCTCAAACGGATGGAACAGTATGCCGTGGATCTAGAGCAAAAGGTGGCCGATCAAACTCAGCAGTTTATGGATGAGAAAAACCGGTCGGAGCAGCTGCTCAGCCAGCTTCTTCCCAAGTAAGCAGCTACTAGTTTTCTGTTAAGTTACACAATATTGTTATTTATTCTAAAAAATTAATCATTATTTATTAATTAAAATTTTTAATAAATTATCGTTTTATTGGTATAAAATTATGGTTTTCGGAATTATTTTTTTTCTTAACAGGTCAGTAGCCGCGCAGTTAACAAAGGGGGTCCAAGTGGATCCTGAAGCGTACGAGAGCGTCAGCATCTTTTTCAGTGACATTGTCGGCTTCACGACGATAGCTGCCCGGGGCACGCCGATGGCCGTAGTGGAATTGCTCAATAATCTGTACACGTTCTTTGACAGTGTACTGGAGAAATTTGATGTCTATAAAGTCGAGACTATCGGAGACGCCTACATGGTGAGTACTATACGCTTAAAAGCTGTACATACATTACAGCAACTTTAGCAACAGCTGTTCTTTGACTAGGTATCATCTGGTCTTCCTGTGCGCAACGGTAACCGCCATGCGGCGGAAATCGCCAGTATGGCGTTAGCCTTAATGGCCAGAATTGTCAGCTTCCAAGTCCCGCACCGGCCGCAGGAGCACATACAAATACGAGCCGGCGCAAATTCCGGTAAAACCATCAGATCTTGCTATGTCTGTATATTTTGTAAATCTGTTAACTAGCATTCGTCGGGATTTCTTTAGGGCCGTGTGTGGCGGGGATTGTGGGGCTAAAAATGCCACGCTACTGTTTGTATGACATTCCATATATTATGGTACCGGTGTTCCCGTTTCAGTATCCGCATGGGTTTTTTTGCAGATTCGGTGATACCGTGAATGTGGCGTCGCGAATGGAATCTACAGGCGAAGGTATCGACTGGTCGTGAAAATAATTTAGTTTACGTAAACAAAAGTGCTGCCATTGACTGTTAAATGCAATGATTCCTTCAACAGCTATGAAGATTCAGATCACTGAAGAAACAAAATTCCTCCTGGACGATATTGGCGGCTTCTTTATGATCGAACGCGGACCCGTAGAAGTGAAAGTAATTGATAAGTTTTTGAAAATATGTACAAATACTGTATAGTCGTGTCACTTGGCTCCCATCACTTGCCGTTTACTGCAGGGAAAGGGTCAACTGATAACCTTCTGGCTCATATCGCAGCACTAAATCCACAATTTCTTCTCCATCGTCGTTCCGCTGCGCTCTGAGTTTTGCAGAACGCCAGAATATTAATGCTTCCTTGGTGATATGATTGCACAAAAATTAATTTAACCCACTTATAAAAATCAGTCACTGAAACGATTTCTAGCTACATATATTTTTAACTTATTACCTACAGTAATTACCGTAGTACCAAAATTCGTGAAAGGGTGAAATATTAGGGTGAAAGTCAGATTAATGTTTTCACTGTTTTGGACCTTGTTGCACGGCAACGGTATGCTATGATCTAAAGGACGCTTGAATACGACGTATGAAGTACTTGTACGGTTGTACCTAGCTAAATAACGAAGACAGCGTGCTACTTGTACATCTGAAATGTTTCCGCAAAAAAATCCATAGATGCTGTTATTTGTCTTTTTCGTGTGCTTAATATTACCAACAGTAATATCAACCGAGAACCGTGAAATTTATGGCGATGACGGCAGTCCGGTTTTGCGGTCAGAAGAACTGTCGTCCTGGCCGAAAGGCACACCGAGTCCGCATGACGACGACGAAGAAGAAGGAGAGGAAGCGAGCGAAGAGGTCGTCGTGGAGAACGATGAGGACGAGCACAACGCATCCCCGCCCGAACTCCGGGGAAAAGCGCGCGGGCTTATTGTGGAGAGCAACAAAGACGCGTCATATCTGGGTGCGTGCGAACCTGTATAACTCTTGTACGTTTATCGTTCGGCACTCCGTCGTAAGTGGTCGTTTTATGCTATAGTTTGGAGCGTTTGGGGCCCGTGGAGTCGTTGTTCGAAGAGTTGCGGGTATGGTTTGCGTCGGCGGGTGCGCAAGTGCGTTAATGGGCTGTGCAAGGAAGGATACAAGACGGATCAGGTGGAACGCTGCTTTACCGCCAAATGCCTGCATTAAAGATTCCCGTACACTGTACTTCAAACGTTCCATTTAATAGGAATATGTGAATTGTAAATTGATCGATTCCGTCAACAGCCAACTACTGATCGATGTCATGCGGAAAATATATTGATAGACCGAAATTGCACTGTCAGCATAATTAATTTTCCAAGCCATTCTGTTGTTGGCTTGTAGCTCCCGATAGAACATTATATTAAAGAATCCCTCGGGGAAAGCATTGTGAAGTTGTCGACGGATAAAGGCATTAGAGATTATCAGAAAGCTTGATCGTATGATGTCTGGAGCAAAATGTTGCTCGTGTCAGCTGAAAGCCTGAAAATTATCGAGCAGAACGATTATTAAGCGCTCGATCACATTTTTTAGGCATTGACTCGTTAACTTCAACCACTTTTGTGCGAAATTTGCACAACCTTTTCTTGTTTTTCCTTTATCATCAAAGTTGGCAGTTAGCGGTAGCTCTCGACATGGGAAGTATTCCGCACACTCCCGATACTCTTCCTCGAAACCGCAAATTCTCATTCCGCGACAGCAACGCCACGTTAGCCGTGGCATCATCCACCGGCGCTGTTGAAAATGAGAGCATCCGAAAAGACACCAATTTATACAAACTTTTCCGTCCCTTTCTTCTCCTATTCCGCATCGGAGGGATGTTTTTCGGTGATGCATTCCGCACGGATTCCACCGCACCGCGTATCCAACGCATTATCGAAGCGTTCTTCTGTTTTTACAGTACCGTTGCATTATTACTGTGCTGGTTCGATACTTCGGTCTTCGTTTACGCCTGCTACCATCGCTGGCACGATTTGCCCATGACCTTTGAAGACATGCCAACCATCGTCGAATACATTAGTCGCAATCTGTGGGCCGTGCAGTTCTGTGTGGTCTTCTTGATCTTCTACCGCGCGTCCTTGTCCAAACACGGGTGGAGCTATTTTATCCGCCAATGGGAAACTTTGAGCTATAACTGCGTGTTCCCAAACTGTAAAGGTCACGAACGCTTCCACCGCGAGTTCCGCAAAAGGAGGAATGTTCTGCTAACCGTCGCGCTCGTGCATCTGGGGATTCAGCTGACCTCCACATACGGCAGCCGTGCGAATTTGGGGGAAGTGGGTGATACCTACGTCCAACCGGAAATAGATATTGCGAAGCGGGTGGCCGATTTCTTCCTAAGCTTCTGTTTTACCGTGCCCATTTACTTTTTCGCTATGGTGGCGTTTGTTATCTCGCTGAGTTTCCGGCATCTGAAGGAGGACCTGGCGTACGTGCTGCAGAGCGGAACGGGTGGAAAGTGTATCGAAGATTTCCGCAAACAACATCAGGGACTGTGTGCGCTGGTGCAGATCGCCGATTCTTTGTTTGCGGCATTCCTTATAATTGAGATAACGTTAAGTGTGCTGCAAGTGCTGTTTGAGGTGTTCATGCTGCAGGCGGAACTGGATAGTGGGACTTCGGTGAACACGGGGAATGCGTTGTCGTATGTGTTGTGGTGTGTGACCTATGTGTCGCAGGTAACAATTGTGCTGTCTATGGGAGCATCAGTCAACGAAGCGGTAAGAGAATGTTCTTATATTGTTGGCGCTAATAAGAACTCATACAATACATAATATGTAAGTACATATGTATTGTACTTACTCATTTACTTATTGTACTTATTCATGTACAAGTCATATTAATTAAACATAGATGAATTGAAATTTTAAAAAAAGTGAGAAATTGTGGGCAGCTCAATCGAAAGCGACATTCCTAATAAATAGTCCTGGTGGCAGTGATAATAGTTGTTGTGATTTCAAGGCACATTCGCCCGAACTGGATTTATTCAGCGTCGATCAGAATACGCTAACGGTGGCACAGTGCCGGCAGTTACAGATATTCCTCACCAGGATCACCTGCAGTAAAATCGGATTCACTGCCGGTGGAGTGTTTGTCATTGAACGCTCAGCAGTGGCCGAGGTCATTTATTAAAAAAAACGAGAAAATTTCGTGAAACATAGTTGAATTTATTAAATGAATAAATGAATGAATATTTTTACAGGTTTTTGGAACATACATCACATACCAGATCCTTATTTTCGAGCTGCGACTGGATTTGAAAATGGATAACATTGTGGAAAGTGTACGGGATTGCCAGTGTTTAAAATCTTTAACGGCTTGAGATAAGCCTAAAGTCTCGCTTGTCAAATATATTATCATCACGGTGGTATTAATATTCATCACGACGAAATGCATAACAATAGTTCTTGTTGGACAAAAGGACGCGGTGATGAATACTTCCATATATTTATTTGCAAACCATCCGCGTCGTTATTTTGCGCAACACTTCACCTGTTTGCTGTAACGCCTTCTCTTGACAGTGGGTATAATAAATAATTACACATAGATTTTATTAGTACTTCCACAGCCAAATGTGCACTGTATGCAATCAAGCACGCATTCCCATACAGAAAAAGCGTGACACCAGCAGAAAATAAACACCCTGCGCCGATTGCCGCTCCTTTCACTTGCGCAACGGTTCTAGGTACTTTGCTTGATTGATTTCCGGCCAGCATGCCCTAGAATCTTTAGTTATTTATTTGACAATCTAATTGAACAATAAGAGTACTTATTACTGTAGCTGTGTAGCACTGCCCTTGAAGTTTAACATCACTGTTAACAGTGTCAAGCGTCACATTTCTCGTAGGATAATCAGTTCACATTTCAGTTCACATTTCTCGTAAGATAATCAAATAGAGGAAATTGGGCTTAAAACCATTTCCATGTAAGCCAAAACATTCGTCAAGCTGGTCTATTCTTTTCACGATAATTGGTTGTATAATGTTCTCAGCCCATATATTTATGGCTATTGTGCATGCCTTCCTTCGTCATTTTCTCAGAGCGCATGGGTCATTAAGGGAAATGGCCCGGTACATGGTGTTAAAAATGGGATACGTACACTAAAACTTTTGCTTTCGCGCACTCTGATTCGCTTTTTTGTGATACTTTATGTCATTCCAAAGCTAAATGATTTGCATACATTGTTCTGAGAATCTTTTGCGCGCGCAACATCCGGTTGCCGAGATATGGCGTACTAAAATGAGCGAAAAGTTTAAATTCATTGTTGTGTATCAAAATTCAAAAGTCTGGTTACTGCCCGATCTTCTTGAAACTATGCTGCAAAAGACACATGGCCATAAAGTCGAAAGTGAACCAATTTCAGGTTCACAGCATTTTTTCCGATTTTAAAATGAATGTCAATGTCAAAAATTTTAAAATTTATTTTATAATTATGGAGTAGTGCTGTGAACCTGAATTGGTTCACTTTCGACTTTATGGCCATGTGTCTTTTGCAGCAAATTCTCAAGAAGATTCTGCAATAACCAGACTTTTGGTACACAACAATGCATTTAAACTTTTCGTCCATTTTAGTACGCCATATCTCGGCAACCGAATGTTGCGCGCGCAAACAGTTTTCAGAACGATGTATGCAAATCGGTTCGCTTTAGAATGACATAAAGTAATACAAAAAAGTGTTTCGGAGTGCGCGAAAGCGAAGTTTTAGTGTATGTATCCCATTTTTGACGCTATGTACCAGGCCATTTTCCCTAAAAAGCCTGTAAAAGATGCTTTTGTTAAAATTTTTTCTTAGAACAAGACCACAAGCGAAAACGCGATAAAATTGTTTTTAAAAACTTTTAAATACTTCCGTTAATATACCCGTGACTCGATGATACAGTTTTAGGTTTTATGATTTCTAAAGACATACAGCCAAATGCTAGTAATAATTTTAAAGAGAGGTCAAAATATTAGTTGTAAGTCAACAAAAATATGAACTGAATCTCTGAATCAACAAAGAAAAGTTGGAAAACACAAGTAGGTCCACAATAAGTTAAACATTTCGAAATGGGAGAACCACTGGACAATGGAGTTCGAATGGCTTAATTTCTTGCAAAGCCAAGAAAAGCCAGCATGTGAAATAATTAAGCGCAAGTATGTGAAATATGTGAAATAATAGAGCCGGTATGTGAAATAATTACGCGCAAAAAAATCCAGTATGTGAAATAATTTATTTTTCTGATTGTAAAGCAAACTGACGGGTTCAGCATTATGGAACGCGCAATTACAAATAATACAAGTTAGTTTATTCCAGTGGATTCATGGCAGCTTCAGTAACACTGTACTGTATACAGAGTTTTTGTAAAGCGTACGTCTCACTACAGTGCTAGTTACTTATAGAGCGAAAGGGCCCAGGCATAATTATTTAGTGCTTACAGGACGAACAAAATAATTATTACCGCGCCATACATGCAATGGTGACGTGATGATTGTTATTTGAACTGCAATTAATGGCTATAGATTGTTTACTATTACAGTGCTACTGCTAGATTTTCTTTCAGTAATATGCACTTCCACCCACCGGTTATTAAAATGCCAATTAAATAGTGCTGATCGGTGAATACTCCAAAATCTGCAGAACTACAGTATCTGATGACCGCTTTCGGCTATAACGGTCGATGCTTTTCCATAATTCTGCTTCCGCAAAATAGTGACTTATTGCGTAACCTGACAATGCGCTCAACCTTTGCCGGAACTGCAAAATAAATGTGCGATTCCAAAGTTTCAGTTCCAGGGAAGTCTTTTTCATCATAAAAGAAACTCTGTCTGTCCAAAAGCGTTACACAGCAGAAGAAAGACAACTGAACAGATGTCCCTGGCTGCCACAGTAATTAAACATCAATTACCCAGCAAATTTTTCTTTTGTGGTACGTACAACAAAGTCATGATGTGTTAGTGAAAATCAGAAAACGCGAAATTATGTAATTGGCTAATAACGTACAATATCTAGTAAAAACACACTGTTTGTTGTTCACTGTAAATGTAATGCTGCTCATCTTGCTGGAGCGACAACTTTTGATAGTGTCAGCGCTTCCTCATCACAGCTAAAGGCCTATTTATACTCGGCTTTAAGACCGTCATATCTCACGGAACTGATGAAATTTCGCAACTATAAACACTTTCCCATCTCCGTCACATTGCACGTGACTGACTTGTGGAGTATAACCACATACTCGGACATCGTCCGAAAGTTAGATCCGTCAAGTTCATGGCCGTCAAAATTTGGCTTCGTCCGTCAAAATTTTGAAATAGAACTGGTTCTATTTTTTCAAAGTTGACGGACATCAAGTTCTGTACTTTTCGCACAAGTCTGTCTATATTCAGTAGAGACCTTACCAAAAGAATTCTAATTTCACCGTTCTTTATTAACTTTTCCCAAACTTTTCATATTACTTTCTACTACGTTTTGTTCCCTTTAACCATTCATAATTAATTTTTTGCATTAGAAATTTATTAGCTTGCGTATGCCACGTGACATACGCGATATCAAATTTTCAGTCTTTAACCATCCGCGGGTTCACACGTGGTAAAAGAAGCGCAGTTTCTGTGTTCTCAAATCTAAATAAAAATAAAATTCAAAAAGAGCTAATAGGTAATTACTGGCACCAAATATATGTACTAGGTTCCACTTGGCATACATTCAGGACAGATTTCAAAACAATTAATTCGGTTTGTTTTGGGCTCGAAATCTGGTTTTTAACGAACATGCTGTCCTAGTATAAATAGAAAGCAGCTTTGTACACAACCGTGCTCTAGATCCGCAGACTACCTATCTGTATTGGCCAATAAGGGGCATTTGTTATTGAGTCTGATCAGTAATCAATAATCTTTCGTGAAAGCAGTATCACCGGATCCGAATCGAATTAATTTGAAGCTTACCGTAGCCCATTTTTTGTTTGAGTTTTCTGGACGGTCTTGGAATTCGCAAAGTATTACTTTGTTACCAGTACAACACATGAGCTGTAATCATTAATTACTTTTTTCGTAGTTTGTATTTCCCTCGACCCTCAGCCATACGCAAATCAATCGACCATGAAATTGCCAATCACGAATGAGACATCAAAGTGCTGATTGATTCATAATCAAAGCTTAGGAGCACTGCTGTATTTAGTGTACTGCAATAATTTTCATGATCGCTTGGGCTGCTGTCGCTGTTTTTCATTATTCCGCTTCCGCTGAACAGTTATTCATTGGGTAAATTGGCATTATGCACTAGCGTTACCGCATCTGTGCAGCCTACCATTCCAAACTTCCGGGAAATTCTTTTCTTGGTCTATGGTTGTCTTCGAAACCGTTACACAGCTCAAAGAAAGCCATCAGAACAGATATCCTCAAGCAAATATTACTAATATTAATATTACTGTCAACAATCAATCCACTAATTATCCCTGTTCACTAGTTACACTGTAGTTCGTTAGTATCGGTGTAGTACGCTGTGCAGCTCATCAGTAATGCTCGTGACTAAGAACCGGAGAAGGCGGAAGTACGTGAACTGTACATGTGTGCATTATAGTATCGGAGTGAAAATAAGTTGTCAGTTTTTCCTTATAAATGGGTTGGTGTTTTCTGTTGGAATTAAACACTCGTCAGTGCCTACATTGATTTTTATCTATTACGACAAGGACTTCTTTGTGTTGCACAATACCGCGATCATGAGCCGCATACGGTCGAATGTAATTATTGGCTGTGCAGTGCTCCTGTTACTCTGTGGGTCAATTCACTCGGGTAAGCCAGCCAAAACCAGCAACACAGGTGCAGCCGCCGTAATGCCACACGATAACGCCACCGACACCAACGCCGGCTCCGGGGAACTGAAAGCGAAACCGCAGCCACAATCAGGTACGGTTCGTTACTGACCGCATTAGCACTTTTACATCGTTTATACCTTCAATAATCATTTACTCGTTATTGATAAGTTCTACTGTATATAGCGATTTCCGGCTTTCAACATGGCGGGTTCCATGATAAAGATTAAAGCTTATGAAAAATGGTTAAATAAGCTCTATTGGTTATCGAGCGAATGCAAACCACTCGTATTATTTATTATTTAATTGTCGTAAATTTATCCATACTGCCTACAAAGTGCGTTATCAGCTGCGGCTGCGATAAGCAGAAACCCTAGGTTTTTTTACATAACCCTGCATAAACATATGCTTATCAGATCAAAAATTTTGCATAATGTACGACAGCCTGGAAAACAGACCCTTGGATGGTAACGCAAAATGGCCTCTGTTTCACGCATTTCTCTACGCACGCGGCATTCGGGTTCTGATTCAGGTTCTTTACCAAAGTCTAAAGATGACTCGCCAAGGACCAAAAGCTTTTCTTTTCTATAAGAGGCTTTCAATAGGACACATATAAGACACCGAGTTTCCCGGAATATATGGCTACATTCTGGGCTGTTGCTGAACGCTTGTAAAAGGGTGTAAGGTGTCCTCAATACCGCGCTGTAACCAAGTTCAAAGTGAATTGCGGACGCTCTCGTACAACATACGCGTAGTTGCTGCCTGCACTGCTGAAAATTTCGGCACCAGCAGTACAGCGTACGTAGAAAGTATGTAGCACTAAATTTCATTAAATCAGCTAACTTACAGTTTCTGTCGGCAGGTAACGGCACATCCCACGGGAATCCCGCTTCAGCACGCTTCGGTCTGACACCCCCTGTACTGAAAGGTTGATAGAGAAGCTTATTGGCAGTGTGATTGAGTGACTAAGTCAACAGAGTGATTGTGGTAGATATTGATCATTGATTATTGCGTGGGTTTTTTCTTTGCACTATAGACTGTCTAAATTTTTATAGCAGTTGTTATTAGGGGCCAGCGCTAACCCAATTGGCTAAGGACCCCTAAAACTGTTTTTTGAGAAAAAAGCAAAAAACGAAAAGCAAACAAAAGCAACCCGCGTTACCAGAAATAAAAACAGCAAAAAATAAATAAAATAAAAATAAAAATAATAACTGATTTACCCTATCTTTATTCACATCTTATGACTTTCGCATTTCGTCCGTGAACATATGGAAATGGAAATATTTTTAAAACAACCGAAAATTAGGTAACGGCCAGAAGCATTACGGGAGATTGTAAATTTTGTCAACATCATCATCGAGAACAATTGGCTGTTAGTTATGTATGTTCTGCGCAACGTGTTTTTTGTGCGGCTGGTTTTCTGTAAGCTGCTTGCATCTCTTTATTTCTTCTTAATTCGAGTATACAGTTCATAACAGACATGGGCAGTTAATTTTAACTATTTAACTTAATGCGAGTTATTTTCGAGTTATTAAGTTATAACTTGACTCTTTAGCGCAACTTGCTAACCAGAAAACTTAACTCTTAGCTTAACTCTCCTTAAAATGCTATATATTGTCTATGGTAGCGTAACTCGCGGTATAACTCGAAACTCGGTTTTTCTGCATAAATAACTTGATTTTTAGCATAATCGCACGCTTCCTGCAACTCTTAACTCTAACCTTGGGTCGATTTTCTGTAACTGCCCAGTTCTGCTTCATAACAGTGCTTTTACAAGGGTTTTGATTCAGTTTTGCGTTACTGTCTGTTTCCAGCTGGCTTTTGCTGCTTAGCGTTACTGTCTGTTTCCAGCTGGCTTTTGCTGCTTACTGTACCACTCTTTTCTTTTACTTGACCTTTATTGTTTTTCTGCAGGGTTTACTGTTTTGTTTACTGTTTACTGATGATGAAAAAATTTGATTTACTCAGTAAACTGAGTACCTATATTACTTAGTAAACCATTTCGCCTTGAAATATCCTTGGCATGAATTTTCCAGCTTACATTTTAATTTTTAATACGACAGATTGCCTACCAACAATTCCATTCATAAACCTAAATGAAAGAGGTTTCCTGAATTTTCTCATATTGGTTTAAATTAAGTGCGTACTCGCATTGTTTCCTGTTACAACCTTTAGGTACGGTGTCATTTTTTTAATGGAAAGAAATAAATTAAAAATCAGCGCTCACCATCTGTATGAAGCTTCCGTAACAAAATTGCTATTATGAAAGAATAAAAAGATTATTGCCGTCGGTCCGAGATAGCCCGTTTGATTTCTGCAGTGTGTGCGCAATGCCTTGCGTCTAGAAGTAAATGCTATACACTGGATAAAACACTGTATTTAGTGGCAAATAGTACAAGCAAACAAGTAATACAAATATCATAAAGTGCGTGCAAATAAGGATTTTGCTCGCGAAATTAAGAAAGACTGTTACTCTAACAATAAGAACAGTGAAACTGTGAAAGCAGTCATGCGGGATTTCTATAGGCTGGCTCCAGTTAAGGTAGTCTCCACTCTCTACCACAAGGAGGCTGTCGCTGACCGTTTGCTGGAATATGGTATTCAAGTTCGCATTAATGCAGTCGATGTGTTTTTCCTTGCTAGCGAAATTATGCCATCACTTCAGAGCTCCTGATGCTGCAATTAGCAAATACCTAACTCGTTTTCTGTATTATTGATGCAATAGCTTATTTTAATATTTTTGGCGATTAACAGAAGACTGGTTATGCTTTAATGGTATTTTAAACATGTTAGTCATGAATCATGATGATGCCATAAGCTACTGTAATTTAAATACCGCTCTGCGCAAAATGCGGGAGACAACTAAAATTTAAAAGGGTTCGTTTTGTGCGGCGAAGTGAAATTTACCGTCTTATATTATGCAGTTTGCACGTTTAGCAAACATCATCAGGGAGATGAACTCTGGTCTAATTTGTGAGAGTCGCTAAAGTATATCCAACAAATCATTATTATTAAACGTACCTCTCGAAGCCTGACTTTAAGCAGTCTTGTTAGATTAGCCAAGTCGGACCGGACCAAAGCGATTCCCGTGTCGAAATCGATTGCAGGTAGAATTACCCACAGGTACGTCAATGCCGCTCCAAATAGGGTCTGCAATAGGTCACCCGAACAATAATTCTTTGCAAAATTTGAAATGAGAGCTACGGGGTTCCTGTTCTTGTGCATACCAGCCGATGACGCAAAAACGTTTTGCGCTACTGCTGCTTCACAAACAGACTCTCATCTACTTGTACGAAAATATAGTACCATTCCGCTACTGTAAAATGGATACCACTAAAGAAATAAAAAAAGGTAATAGTATTCGTACACCGCACTTTGAGAACTGCAACTAATTTTTCGTTTGACCAAACTGCTGTTCACTTTATGCTATGAGTTATGCGTATAAAGGCAAGCTTGTACGCATTATTTACCCCGAATAACGATTTCAGAGTCATTGGTAGTAGCGTCCCATAAATAACTCCGTCACACGGATGCAAGAAACCGACAAATTCTTTTTGGAGATTTTCACAGGCATCTCGTAGTTCCTGGTGAGTCATATGGTCTTCGGACTGCAGCACATTTTTCACCTGCTTTTTCAGGCTTTTAACCTACAAAATAACTGAGGATAAGAGAAGGTCGCCGCAGTATCGGATTTACTGTACAACAACGCTCCGCTCGAGCCATAACTGAACACAAAAAGGTTTTTTTTTATGTATGTCGTCGCTGGGGAAACTAATTACAAAACTCTATACCGAAAGATATCAGTTCAAAGAAGATTCCATTATGGTGTGCCGCGCATTTCCTTAGAAGTAAAAGTATTGAAAGATAACAATAATCGAAATTTTTGTAGCATAATAGTAGCATTTCTGGAAATTTTCGGTATTTCTTGCTCTTGTAGCCGTACGTTAGAATTTGTGACTTCCATATAAAATACACTTGTGACCGGCAAAAATGTCCCCCCTGTCCCCCCGGACATTTTTGCCGTGTCCCCCCTGCCACCATCTCCAAAGTGGTAACCCTTTGGCCAGAATGGTGACATGGGGGACCTATCACGAAAAGCTGATTTTAGGTCAATCGGTGACCTTTAAAAAACTGCGATCAGCGTTACCACAGCGTTACCAGTAAAAAGTAAATGAAAAAGTTGCTTACTGAAGGGACACCTTTGCGGTAATGAAATTTATCGGGTCGGCATGGAGGACATTATTGCTGGAACGAAATTAATGGTGTCCGGCATGGACATGGGGGACATGGGCATGGGGCATGGGCATGGGGGACATTAATGCCGAAACGAAATTATTGGTGTCCGGCATGGGGGCATTATTGCCTAGTATTTCACTCCGGCAATAATGTCCCCCATGCCGGGCACCATTAATTTCGTTCCGGCAAATATGTCCCCCATGCCGGACTCCACTAAATTCGTTCCGGCATTAATGTCCCCCGTGCAGGACACCAATAATTTCGTGCCGACAATAATGTCCCACATGCCGGACACCATTAATTTCGTGCCGGCAATAATGTCCACCATGCCGGACACCATTAATTTCGTTCCGGCAGTAATGTCCCCCATACCGGACACCATTAATTTCGTGCCGGCAATAATGTCTCCCATCCCCCACACCATTAATTTCGTTCCGGCAATAATGTCCCCCATGCCGACACCATTAATTTCGTGCCGGCAATAATGTCCCCCATGCCGACCCGATAAATTTCATTACCGCAATGGTGTCCCTTCAGTAAGCAACTTTTTCATTTACTTTTTACTGGTAACGCTGTGGTAACGCTGGTCGCAGTATTTTAAAGGTCACCGATTGACCTAAAAATCCGCTTTTCGTGATGGGTCCCCCATGTCACCAGTCTGGCCAAAGGGTTACCATTTTGGAGATGGTGGCAGGGGGAACACGGCAAAAATGTCCGGGGGGACTGGGGGGACATTTTTGCCGGTCACATACGCTTAATGCAAACGAGTTTATTTTACTGAGTTACAGAACTACACAGTTGGCGGTTACCTTCGCCTTGCAGTTAAAGTAACCTTTACTGTGTCGTAGCACTATTTGTACGTTAGATGACCTGAAAGTAGCTTAAAATGTTCACATTTATAAGTTTGAGAGCTAGCAGTTGCACTGGGTGATTTAATGCGCAAGCAGATGGAGTCATGGAGATTCCCAAATACGTACAGTTACACCTAACATCATAAGCTACACTCGAAACACAAGGAAATTTTATTCAAACAATTTATCCTTACCTTCGATTCACAATAAATACAGACGATAAAGATGAACAGGATTCCGAAAACATTTGCTGCCGGCAAGACGAAGTCCGCGTTTGGTGTGCTTTCTTCCTGAAAAGCTCGTAACAAAATGCCGATCGCACTGCTGGTAGCGTACATAAAAAATAATAAAAGCTGCCACCCAATTAGGTCGTTATAATCCGCTACAAAATCCATTAGATTTCTGAACTGAGATGGCGGTAATAGCTGAGTGATCGGCGCCGGAAGGGGATTTAACTGCGGATTAGTGAATGTGGCTGCGATGTTTATAAGGGTCTGTTCGATTTTCCGAACTGATAGGGCAATCTGTAAAGTAGTTACCACGGTGCTTCCAACAAGAAAATAATTGATATAGTATTGTACCATGCTGAATACACTTTTTACGCCGTAAAACACATAATACGGGCAACTTTCGGTTTTGTTTTCGAAAGGGAGCAGCGGACAAGTCACTGCCACAGACCAATCTGTCACATAAGGTGCAGTTAGGGAAATCTCCGTAGCCATATAAATCAGCGGAAGCACCATACTGCAGACGATGCCCACGATTGTTATGCAATAATGTGCCTTATGAGATATGGTCAGGGCCGTGAGGAAATGTGTGACGGCATTTCCCATATGATAGATCGTGTAAAAATTAACAGACAGCAATATACTGGGCTGCATATACATAATGATTTGAAAACACAAGCCCATGAAAATAACCACGCTCTTTTTATCGATATTGCGACACTCGAAGTAGCTACCGGAGAAGCCAGTGATGCCCAGAAAGGAGAAAAATACAAAGGTATAGAATTTCCAGATGTGTGCTTTGGCAGCCACAGGCGGCAAGGCTGCCAGCAGCATCCAAATTGCCAACAATATCACTGTCCCTGTAACCATCATTGCTCTGTCTGATGTACTGATCAGACTTCTAATTTTAAGTTGTCCCGCCGCTTATTATATACGCAAACGGTGCCAGATTGCCAACACCCATCCCGACGCATCCGCTTCTTTGGTGGTTATGGCTATTATGTTAAACATCCGATGGAAATGCGCTGCAACAATAGCTTAATAGTCTACGGCTGTAATCCAATGGACTGTTGTGCACGAACTTCTGAAAGAAAAAACCGCCATGTTTGCCCTTGACTATCGATCTGTGACTATGGTTGCTTCATGACCAGTTTTTCTTCCGGTAAACTTGTGACGCTCGTTATGCATTGTTATGTGCTATCGCGGGAAAAGTCTCCCGCATAGTTTATCTCTCGGTTCCATTTTCGCCATTATGCTGGATCGATCGTGCATACATTGTGCGTTCATTCGGTATAACTTGTGTACTTTTAAATGTTATGTGTTTTTTTACAAACCGTGATTTAAATCTGAGACGACTACGAAGCACTTCAGGCATTTGATTAAGAAAATTACTAAAATCTCAGATTCCGCTGGGCTGAATATCTGTTTACTCAAAGTACTTGTAGCGTAGTGCAGTGGCACTGAGGTCACAGCGAACACAACATTCTCGTGACGTCAGTGCCACTGCACTACGCCACATCGCCACCTTCAAGTCGTGACAGTACTGTAGTTCACCGGTGAATAGTACATAATTTCGATACCGTGTGTCGCACCATATTCTTTACTCCAATACCGTTAATAAAATTACCGGTAACTGTAATGTGACAATGTGGGGGAATAATCACCAGCAGACCGCAACGCAGTTCCACATGTTCAGTGCAGAATTTGCATTCGCAGGCTCTGCATTGTATTACAGAATATGCATTGCATGCAGTTGACATAATACGTATGAACTGTGATATTCGTTGCAGTTCAATATACTTACCAGGGCACGCTAAAAGGTTCGCCTCTCCGAAAAAATTATGGGTATCTGCACGGGCGTTGGCTGCGTGCACGGATAATTTATTTAATTTTAAATTTATTTAATTTAAATTTATTTATTAAAAAGGTAACGTTTATACATCCATTTATTTCGGTTTTTTGGCATAAATACTTTAGAAATCTGTCACAAAATCTATAATTTTCTAACAAAAATACAGGTAAGTAGTACCCGGTTCCATTCGAGAAAAAAAAAGCTCAGGTTTTCTCCATCCAAAATGGGTGGAGATGGGTGTCACCAAGATGGGGTTTTTTTCAAATTCCAAAAAGCCATTATACGTATACGTAACTACAGTAATTTCGTAGACCATGCATGTGATAAGCAAAAAAGTACATTAAAACGGCTTCCGAACATGCCGTTTTAAAGGCGCCGTGTTGTAAGTACTCCGACGATGTCTATCTGCACAGGTGCTGGCTGCGGTATTTTAAATTTCGTTTCTTTTACGTCTTGTTGGGAGGTTTGAATTTTTTCTTACGTTTTTTGAATTTTGATTGTAGTTATTATAGGATTTTATACGTAGTTTCTCCCGTTTTATCCAATCACAACAGGGTTTTCTACCGATTTTCTGACATAATTTTTTCACGTGCCGCAATCTGGGGATAGTTAATGACATTTTTGTCTCTGTAAATAGCTCATATTCGTCTTTAAATATGTAGCATACGAGTATTTTCCTTCAAAGAACTGAACTGTTTCCAATATTACAGAAACATATTACAGAAATTCCCTTCTTCGATTCTTCTAGTGTGACTTTCAAGTATTACATAGTACTGCACTGGCAAGCATTAACAATTAACATGTACTAATAGTACTATTAACATGTACAGCTTAGGACAAAAAAGACGCATAGTCCCACCCACAGCATTCCGAACGCATGCGGCGCAGTGCGCTGTACGACTCAGCTAAAATATCCGTTGTCGTACAAGTGCACTTGACACATGCGTACGGATATCTGGGTATGGGGTAATGCGTCTTTTTAGTCCTAAGCTGTAATAGTTACTATAATTACATGTAATATTATATACTTCGTACAACAAAATTCGTGGTATTGCTCAACCGTATTTTTTTGAAAAATTATGGTTCAAGTGAGTAAAGTTCCACAGTAATTATGTAAAATAGCGAAATAAAAGAATATAAAAAAGTTAAATCAATAAAAAAAAGTTAAATTAATAATATAAAAGTTTTAAATATATATATTTAAAATTAAGTAAATGACCCGTTCATGCAGCCAACGCCTGTGCAGGGATCCCGTGCCCTCAGCCAACAGCCGTTCCCAAAGTCCATGCACGCAGCCAACACCCGTGTTTACCCGTGCACGCAGCCATAATGAGAAATTAATTTTTACGCTAAGACATTGCTCGCCCATGGCATACATACTTAAAAGAATAATTTTCTCGGCAATGATCCAGCGGGCGTGGCCAGACACGAATTTAATGGTAAAAGTACTGTATCTATTGTATTTGTGAAGTACTCCCATACTACTGTACTCGTATTACTGTTAGCACTGGCAAACTTGATTTTAAGCGCATTATTTTACCCGTTATCGCTGTCGTCTCGCTCCTTCATATTTTAATTTAATTTTCTGAATCACTGCCTTGAAAATTTCGAATTTTCAGTGAATTTCGTCACTTCTAGCAAAATATTTGCAGCTCTCACGCGGCTCAGCCCGCTCGATAAGTGACAAAATTGCATTATTTCAGAAAACGTATTTTAGAAAAACAGTGTTCAAAGCAGTGTTTCAGAAAATAAAATTAAATGAAGGAGCAAGACCACGGTGATTGAGGGTAACTCAATGTCCGTTATCAAGGAAGAGTAGAACACGCATCAGTTTCCGGCTGCCGGCGGAAAGATGACTGGTTCTATTACGGGGTAACGTGCACGGCACATGTAAAATGATTTGCATTGCTGCGACCCATTAGCCAAAGTAAGGAGACAATAGTTTGTGAATTTCCAGCAGCGGCTGGGCTAAAAGCGCATTGTTGACTCAGATTGCCTTTTAGAGCACTCAACAACAAAGTGAATAATCAATCGTTTAACTTGCGTCATCTGTTTTGTTCGCTATGCACACCGTATGTCAGCAATTAAAAGAAGCGCAAGAATGCAAACGATAAAGTACAAAGGAACACTAATTTCCAGATTTTGGTAAACATATAAAATAGTTAAAGAAATGGTAAACCGCTTGAAAAGCACTGTGTAAGTAAACGATACAAAAAAGAGTCCACCGCATGCACCATTACATTGAACTTTATCGTTGCTACGGTACATACACAATGATCCACACACTATTTACTAGTAACATAATCCATCCATTAACATTTTAAAATCGGCAAGCTCTATCAGATTTAGCTTTGTGGCAGCAGATCGTTCGACTGTTAGGTCATCGGGGTGATATACCTCCATATTTTTATCTTTTATATGCAGATTGATTAAGACCGGAAGCAGAATGATCGGCAATATGGAGACTTAATTATGCGGATAAGAGGAAGGCGACTTTCATGAATATTTTATCGAAGAACACAAACAGCGATACCGAAAAGAGAGGCGGCGATCAATCGGAAAGATCTTCTTCCTTCCGGGTTGCTCCCGCTCTCGGTTGGCAGTTAAGCGCCAGGCGCCTAACGTCCTTGAACTGCAGCCCCGTCACGACGCTGCCGGTCCGAACACTGCGTCCAAAGTTCCAACTTAACGTTCATTATAAAGGCGCCAGTGGCATGGAGAGGAATTTCACCAGTTCCCACGCGTTGGGGTAACGGACTTGCATCCTAGAATTAGTTTTTAGTTTACAGGGTTACGAGCAAAAAATTAACAGGATAGCGAAAGTTCTCAAGGCCAACGACTCTTCAGCAGCGTAGAATTGAGCCTGCATTTTGCATGATGTCGATTACCTCGGCTCCTACAGGGCTATCTGCTTGAATCCTATATTCACACTGCGAATTCTAATTTATTATTATATCTGGATTATTATTATACCTTTTCTGGAATATTGCATTTTATTTTATTATTTATATACTCAGTTATTTGCAGCAATTTGCTGACTTACCGCTAATTTTCCCCGCTCTTGGTTTCGGTTTCTTTGTCTTGCTTAATTTAAGCCCATTCTTTTTTGTTTTTATATCTTTCGTTGGCGATGCCGACGCTCCAGGTTCTTGCTGGTATCCGCGGGCCGTGGTGTGCTACGGTGGCGCGAGGAAGCTCCGAATACAGTCCACCACGGCCATGGTGGCACATTGTGGATGCTGGCGCAGCCAACGCTTCACTGCGACTGTACTCAGCGTAAGCTTCCTGAAAATGGCGTCCTTCGCAAGGCTTTCTTACACGCTGCCTGTAATTATATTCCCTAGTGAAACTTTATTTTATAATTTATCATGCCTGCAACAGTGTTTATAAAGAAGTCAATCAGCTTCATAGCATTGGCCACGCCCTCGAGCGGCGGTATCGGCGAGTGATTGCTGGGAAGGAATTGGTCAACACCGACATAATACGAACAAGACCGCTAGGGCACCTTTCGTTTTCTTTGCTTGGCGCTGTGAATACGCGAAAACGCCAAGTTGGCTGGAGGCATATATGGAAAAGATCAACAGGGTATTCGATATTCTCTTGATGGAGCGTTCGAGGATAAATTTCTTGGCTCTCTGCTGGTACCGGTGCAATGGCAGGTCACATCAGCGCTAAGAAGCATAACGAAGAAGATTAACACCTCCGTAATTTGCGATTTTCAGAAACGAAATATCGTTTGTGTGCACACAGAGAGTTAAATGAATCCTGCGATATAAGAGCGACTCCGTGGCGCGAAAAAGATTAACCGCAAATGTTGTTGCGGAAGGAATCCCGGGACAACGAAAGACATACCTTTATGAAGCCGCTTTGTTGCTCAGTGTAGCCGCATAACTTCTACAACATAGACCATTAGAAGAATGTACTCGTACATATTAAAAAGGTACACATTAATGAATTCTTCTGCGCACGGCGAAACAGTGTACAATAAATGCGCATTTCCGGTTATTGTATTACAAAACAAATAT